AAATTCCACAACCTGCACAGAGATCAGTTGAACTTCATCATCTCTTGTAGGGGAAAAATAAACACATTTTGCTGTGGTGTCTCAATTCTTGTGTGATATATCAGTAAGCATTGAAGTAACTGAATCCTACCTTTGTTGGCTATGGCTGGGAAATGGTGTTCTTGGATGTTCTTATAAATGCGAAACTACCTTAGATTCTTTTCAGAAAGTGAATGATGGTCCTTGAACTCAGAAATTGAAACACAGTCTGTTCACGGAGCTACACGTCAAAGTAAAAGTTGTCTCCCCTTGTATATATATACTTGTGTCAGAATGTCCTGATCTGGGCTGAGTCCAAGCCACTTTGTGCACGCTGCCAGGTTAGCACTCTCATTGTGTTTTGTTTGGCCGTTACTTCAAATTTCAGGAAAATGTGAAGCAGATCTTAAAATGTTATTAGTAAAGGTCTGCTTTCCAACTATCTGCTTTGCCCATGAATGTTAATGAAAATCTTATGCATAAAACTAACAAGTTAAGCAATTTTGTCCATGTCAGACTCTATTTATTGAGTGTTGATAGTAAGAATAAATTAAACTATCAGAGAAACACATGTGGAATCTAGTAAATGTGACTTTTCATAGGTTAGACTCACGGTTAAGTACTTGGTTTTGCCTTGATAAAAGTTCTCTTATCACTCTTCAAACTAGAGTTATTAATGGCATGTTTAGACATACATCAGTTTGATGATTCCACTATGTTAAAGCTTCAGTCTTGAATTTCTTCGTGAACGGTCAGTTGTTGTCTGTACTATATCACTGTATAAATGAATGCCAAGATAATTTACAATGGCTGTTTATTAACCCCTTCGAATCACTAACACAAAAATAGAAAATGCAATAAACTATTTCTAAAAATTAGCCAGATGAGTAGTGATTGAAATTGCAAGCTTAAGAAAGCTCTGCATTGAGGAAAACAATACTTCAATGCAGAGCTTCATTTTTATGTCAAAGGTGAACATTAAAAGGTTCCAATTTAGCTTCAAAATGTTTAATATTAAATATTCTCTCATATTACCATTATATATGAGGGCTGCTCCGAAAGTAATGCCTCCTGTTTTATTTTGTCGTCTCATGACATCAGAGGTGGATGTTGATGATATGGCAGTAGAAGTTGAGCATTCCTACCAGTGTTCCATTGCACGTTCTTGCCATGCGACAGATGGCAGCAGAGGGGCACTCTGACAGAATGGCAACATTTAACTTTTAAATGATTAGGCCTGGCAATATTACCTCTCTGAAACGGAGGAATTTTGGCAATCACCTCAGGCAACCTAAGCAGCTGAGAAAATTTCAGCTGTTGTTGGTACTCTTGGTGAGGCTCTTTTCTCCACAGATTGATTGCATATGAAGTCAATGTTGTCAGTGGAATTTTGAAGCATTTTTAGTTATTTCTTACATAACTTTAAAACCAGGAACTCAGCACAAGGATTGTAATTAAAATTTGTCTCCTTCTGACTTATCTGTGAGTTGCTGGTGGAAATACCATTATGGTTACAGAAAGCTGGGATGTGTGCTACATGGATTCAAGATGTTGTTATTAAAAGCACATAAAATTGTTATATTTTGCTTCTGTCATGTACTAACAGGATTTCCAGCAATCTGCTGCCAATCACCAGTGAATTCAATTTGGCGTATTTAGCACTTCACTGGAGATACCTTGGGAATCTGTGGTTTCTAGTGTAGAGCACGAGTTTACCACAACTGGGAAGCTGAAAACCTAATAACATGCATTTTTCCAAGAGTTTATTGTGTCAAGGCACAGTTTTCTGAATTAAGCTGTTCAGATGTTGCAAGATGATGCTTTATGAAAGGAGTGTATAAGTTTCTATTCTGCCTTATTTTCTGGTTTTTTCTTCGAATGAGCTGAATCTCCTAAGAAATGCTGGTTCTTTCATGTAGACTGTTATTATTGCCCAAAGGTTCTGCTGGTTTCTTTACCCTACATGGCTTATTAGGATAGTCCTTCTTAGTTCCTGTACCTTTCCAGCAGCAAGTCTTCAAAGAGAATTTCTCAAACCAAACATAAATAGGTTTCCATACCAGACTCCAAGTGTAGGAAAGGTGATCAGGTGGCTGCTGCTGATATAAACATTGATCAGGCTGATTTTGCACCTGTTTTCCAAGTCAAACAGGAAATATTAATTCTTTGATTGCAATTAATGTTCTCTTTTCTCTGTACACATTATGGAGCCCCTTCAGATCAGCTGAAATCACTGTTAAATTATGTATAATAAATGTGTATAAATATCACCAGTTAAATTATTTCACTGACATGAAACCAGCAAAGCAAATGTAGCAATGGCTTCACTATTACACATTTCAGTCTGTGCATTTGTAAGAATCAGATCCTCTGAAAATGTTCTGAGATGAGCAGATGGGAAATTTCTTTCTACTGACAGTGCAGATCATTATTTATTGAACGCTGTCCCTGGAGATTTCTGTTCAGTGCAGATGAACCTGAGGGCATATTTGCACCACTGTTAATCTGCTCTTGCAGTAAAGTTTTTTTCCAGGAGAGAAGAGCAAGGTGAACAATGTCTAGAAAGTCTAGTCCAGAGGAAAGGTAGAGGTGTCCTACTGAAAGGGAAATTTAATTTGCAGAATGTCTGTTCAGAAACTGCATGAGCAGAAACTATAAGATATACATCATCTCTCCCCATGGGGGAATTTTGGGCAGGCTTCTCCTGTTGTTTTGCCAACTTCATGGAACATAAAAAGAAGCCAATTCAAGTCAGCTTTTGTGAAAAGCTTATGCTGGAATACTACATTGCTATCCCAAAGCATCATTCTTATCTGCAAGTCATTACAAGAATTACAGAAATTGAGTGGGTTCTGGCAAAGAAGAGTGGTAGAAGTAGATAGAGAAGGTAAGGGGTAGAAGAGGAAATAAGAGATTACTTGTAGGCAGTGAGGGAAATGTGTAAACAAGCACTTTTGGGACTAATGCTGCTACCTGCTGAAGAATGTAGGAGCAATTTGAAGGTGACAGAAAAAGGATGCCCGCTTGGTCTTCCTCATTAAAATGAGGTGTAAGACAGTGGGTAGTTAGGCCTGCCAGTAATGCCAGTAAAGAGTATGCCAGAGGATGAGCAACATCCAAACTGTAAAAACACAGGAAGCTATGCAAAAGTAGGAAAATCCATAAACCCTGCTTTACTGTTGAATTTTGTCTTTCAAGGGCAGAATGGTATAGAAACAGGGTTCCTGTGTCATAGATGTCATTTTTTAAAAATTCTTTTTTTACAAATGGGTCTGTGTATAAGGACTGCACTATTCTAGTCATGATATGAAATGTGATTTGGATTTCTAGTACACTTTTAAAAACACCTTTCAGTTCCCAGAACAAATGCAAGTTTACACTGCTGCGAGTAAGATTTGAATGTATTATTTTTGGTCAGATATCTAGAAGTAAAAAGCAAACATGAATAAAAGCCTTGTTTTGTTGTGGGTTTGTATTTGTTTGTTTGTCAGTGATAAGATTTAGTGATCCTGTAAACCTATTGAAGCACAACATGAAAGTCACAGCTCCAGGCAAGTAGGACTATGTTTAGATCTCAAATACCCATTTTCTATTTACATATTCATTATTGAAATACATAGGCAGGTATGTACCTTGGAGCATATAGTAGGCGCTTTCGTGGGTTGCCTTGAAAAGTTGCATCCAGAAAATAAAGGCAACTGAGGCCATCACAAGCTGCTGGGGAGAAAAAAAACCTAATTGTATTTAAATGGAAGCTTACATTTACATAATATTTCCAAAGATGAGTTGATGCAATTTTGTAGCAATGAATGGTCTGAGAATTGCTCATTGGTTGTTGTTCTGGAAGGAAGAAAACAGAGAAGGAAGAACAATCTTAGAAAACATTTTTTGCAGACTTGAGAAGACCTCAGAAACACTGAATGTGTAGAAAGTTAGCTGTGAGGTGTATGGGAGTATTAAAAAATAAAACACCTTGCACAAACAAACGAGCTGGTATCCAGTGTCTCTGCTGCTGGCATCACACACCAACACATGGTTCCACTTAGGAAAGGAGAGAGTAATAGTTGGGTATGACTGAATTTTATTAATGACTGAGCTTTATCTCAAACAGTCCAAATAAGATACAATTCCATGAGAAACAATCTAGCTGATAAAAAGTAATGCATCATCAACAGACTTCTGATGGTGCGAGTGATGCATTTTCCTTAAAACTCCCATGCATGTTCTGGACAGACTGCTGTGCTGAAATGGTGCTGCAGCCTCCAGAAGATGGCAGCTGTTTCTCGGTTTGCCTTTTCAAATTTCAGACTCTTCATAGGCTGACACCAGTTGATATAGTCGCCGTCTATTCTGAATCATGCAAAACACAGACTGTAAAAATAGCTTGTAGCAGCACTGTGTAAAGCGGGCTTTTCCATATTGAATCAGAGGATCCATTGCATTTACAAGTGTGGGGGGAAGGAACTAGACGAGACTTAAGCACTTTGCAAAAGGACTTCGGCTGGGGTATCTGAGGAAACGTCCTCATCAGTAGTGTTTCCTTTTTATTTTTTTGAAATTATTTTTCTTCAGGAAAAAAAAAATAGGATTGTTTTATAAAATTTTCCAGGTACCAAACTTGGTTTAATTTCCTTGTCTTTCAGTTTCATTAATTCTGATCGGAAAGTAAGTATTAGAAGTGTTCATATCTATACACACTAGATAAAAATTGTAGGATTTTTTGCACTGCTGACAGAAATGGCTAGATTGTGATTGTTGTAAAGTTATTTTAGTTTGTTCTGTTCTGTTCTAGTTGATTTGAACTCCTGAACAACCAGTGCAGAAGAACTGCCTGTTCTTGTGACTTGCTCTTTATATATTCATCCCGTGGATATGTGGACATCTCTGTGCTTCAGGAAGTGCTGTGCTACAGGGAACTTGTGATGGATCCGTTCATCTTTATGAATGCTGTATTTAACAGATTTTAATTTTATCTTCTCCAGACTGATGCCATGGCATCGTCAGGCCTCTTCTTCAAAGATGGCAAGAAACGCATTGATTACATCCTGGTCTACAAAAAGTCGAGTCTACAGGTAGAAAAAAGAAGCACATTTGAGAAGAATTTGAGAGCAGAAGGGCTGATGTTAGAACGAGAGGTGAGTTCTTAGTTGATGTGGTATAAAGCAAACTTTGCAATGCTGTCTTCCTGGACTAAACTTATAACAGATTCCTGATGATTCGTGTTTCTGGTCAGACTTGTCCCTTTGTTCACTGCTAATATATTAATCATAGAATCATAGAATGGCTTGGGTTGGAACGGATCTCATCAAGCTCCAAGTTCCTGCAGCAGGCAGGGCTGCCATCCTCCCCATTTAATACTAGCCCAGGCTGCCCAGGGCCCCATCCAACCTGGCCTTGAATACCTCCAGGGATGGGGCATCCACAGCCTCTCTGCGCAGCCTGTTCCAGAACCTCACCACTCATAGTAAAGAACTTTCCCTGATATTCAACCTAATAATAACACTAATTTGACAGTGTGTAATGTGTCTTGCTTATGCACAATTATATGTGTACATAACACTCACACGCATCCCCCCGTGTAACATCACTTCTAAACAGATGTAGTGCAGTACACAGGGGATCATCCAATTCCTTACACTTTCAAAACAAAAGAAATTTCTGTAACCCATGTTGTCACAGAATCACAGAATCACAGAATGGCCAGGGCTGGAAGGGACCTCAAGGATCATGAATCTCCAACCCCCTGCCACATTGCAAGGCTGCCAACCTTCCCATTTAATACCAGCCCAGGCTGCCCAGGGCCCCATCCAAGCTGGCCTTGAACACCTCCAGGGATGGATGGGGCATCACAGCCTCTCTGGGCAGCTGTTCCAGCACCTCACCATTCTCATAGCAAAGAACTTCCCCCTGACATCCAACCTCAATCTCCCCTCCATTGTCACCTTAATGTATAACCCATATGTCTTCTTACAGAATGCCTATTTAATCTCCCTATATTTTTAAAGGGGTAATGATGAAAAGTTAATCCATCCCTAGCTTACATGTCGGTATTGAGTTCTTTGAGCTAGAATAGTTTACAATTTATATGCTACTTGGCAGGCTTCCAAATTTTATGGAATGCAATTAGAAAAACAAGCAAGCAAACAAAAAAACCAGCCTTTTATTCTAGTCATACTTAGTAAAATATCAGAAGTCATGCCAAGTCTCACTGTTAACCCCCTTTTTCTTTGCATGCTGAAACCTTTAAACACTAAGAACTTTGAATATTAAGGATTTCTTTCTTTACATTACAAAATGATTTTGTCAGCTTTGCTCTGATCTGTAATAGCTTGTTTTCCCAAGAGTCCAAATTAATATCCCTCTAGGTTCCTAATTAGGTTCCTAATAAAGTTGCTAATACTATAGAGATTAATTAATTTTTTTATCTAGATGCTCACCATCAGCCTTCCATATCAATATTTATTTTTAAATTGTTCTCTGCATTGTCAGAAAAAAAAAGTATTTATGTCCTTGTTTGTCTTTTCCATTCCTTTCTGTGTCTTAGTTTTAATGCTGCTCTTTATTGCACTTTGATGGATATTTTTGCCATGAAATTTGAAAAACTACTTCAAAAGGATGTGAAGCTGTTGTGATGAGGATAACAGTACTGAGAATGTTAACATAAAAATAAACAAATTCAGGAAAACAGCCTTGCAATTTTAATGTTCTGTGAATTACTGCTAAAAAAGACATGTATTTAGTCTTTCTTAAAGTAAGTTCCTGTAGTTCATGTGTCTTTTACCTTGATTATTTTCTTTAGCTCAACTTGGCGGAACTGCTTTATGTGTTCTGTGTGAAAGCAGTAATGTTTTAGCTGCTTGCAAGTCCTTGCAATAGCAATAAAGCACGCTGAAGATTTGTAAATAACTGGCCTGGAAGTTTTGTTAAACTTATTTTTAAGTTTTTAAACATTATTTAGAATCTAATAGGAAAATAAAAACCTGATTTTCAGATATCTATTGAAATAGGAACGATCTTCAGCTGGAGTCAATTTAGAAGCACTGACATTTCAGACAAAATGTGTTTGTGTAAGATAGTGATTCTAAATATCAAGCTGTTGAAATTGCTTTCCAGTATTATTTTTTCCTTGTCTTTGGAGAACAATGAAATCCTAGAAGCAATATCAAATAACTTTGACATGACCTTATGGCACTGATGGGCAGAATTTTTGAGCACTTAAAATTCATTTTACTCTCTGACTGAATTTTCCTCTATCTTTGCTTACCAAATCTTGTATAATTCAAGTCTTGGGAGACTTTTATCAGACTCAACTCTACCAAAATGTTTGATTACAAAAAACTCAAGCAAATACATTTGAGACAGAAATTTAACACTGAAATACTGATTAAAAAAAATAAATACAGGAACATTTGGTGTTGAAACTCTTGTTTATATTCATATAAATATGTGATAAAAAACATTTCTGTAAAATATTCCTCATAATTTTATGGGGAAAAAAAATCATACAGGGATCACATTTGAAGTTGATAACTGTCATCATGCTTAATTTTTTCTGGATTTCTGCAGGTTTGTCTTACGGCTCTAACAGCTGAACACCACTGCCCTATTCTCCTTAAATGTGAGACGGATTGAGGGGTCTCAAAAGGACTCATCTGAAATTATTTTGATGCTTTAAGCCTTTCTTTACTTCAGCTAGGTTTATAAGAACTGTCCTACAGGTTTTTTTTGGCAGTTTCTTGTTCACTCCTATGACAGGATTTGAGATGGGATGGAAGCTGTTCATTTCCTATTGTCTGTCTCAGCACTTGTGACATTTTCAGGCTTTCATGACGAAATTTAACCTTGAATTTAACCTATTTAGAAGTGTGAGTGCCCCATGGGATTGAATTATTAAATTTGTGTATTTTTTACCACTTTTTGCAGCCAGCTGTAACAAACAGTGATATCATGTTTGTTAAAATTCACTGTCCGTGGGAGACGCTGTGCAAATATGCAGAAAGAATGAACATCAGGATGCCTTTCAGGTAAGGTGGAAACTATTTTAATGAACTTGTAATTTATTGCTTAAAATATATTTAAAAAAACCTATAATATTAGTTACTTTAATACTCAGTTTCTTGCCTGTGCTAAACAAATTCCTTATGCCTTTTTTGCAGTAAATATTATTGGAATAGTGAATATCTCCTGTAATAACACTGAAATGTTAAAAGGTTTAAATGTTTATTTTCAACTCAATTCATGTTCTTCTCGAGAGAGGAAAGCTTTGTTGTGTGCTGTAAACCTGTGTGACTCATGGAAAATTCCCTTGCAGAACTCCTTTTTCACTTAAATTGCCAAATTCTCCATCTTTCGTATCCCATAATGTGGCTCTCTTGCATTGGTCCTAAGCCAGAAACTTAGTCATTGTGAAGCATCTTTAGCTCAAACCTGGTTTCAAATACCCAGTTATATTCTGAGTTTCTACATCATCCCATTAAGTGTTCAAAGTCCTTTCCATTAAAAAATATTTTCTGTGACAGTCATCTACTGAGTGCTTAAGAATATTATTATAGTGCCATTTGAGCTCCCCTAATTTGAATGATTCTTGTCTACATTTTAAATATACCTCTGAATGTTTGCGTATGTGTACACAAATACATGTTTATCTAAATTCCCATTCCAGAAGTACTTCTTTCTTGCTTTCAATACTTGACATCACAGAAGTTGGGTTTTAACAGTGATTTGAATTCTTTGTCATTTTAGCAACTTCATAGATCTGTAGGGATCTTCAGGAAAAAAAAAAAAAAAAACAGTCAACTTTCAGAAGACTGCTTTATTTGTAAGCTGCTCATAGTTGTGTTTGTATTCAGTGCTTCACCTTCCTAGTTTGCTTTTGAGTCAAATGCTACTGATCAGAAAGAAGCCTACTGCTCACCTCCAGCTCTGTGAGTAGTATGCACTTGGTCACCATTCTTTTTTCTCTTCTAGAGGATTTAAAAAAGAATTAAAGTGAGATCGCAAGCTAGACCTTGTGCGAATATTTCAAATAAGCTAGTCCTTTAATTGCACTTTTTAAATTACAATTGAACACAATAGTGAATGCAAAGTAGATTCAGATTAGAGCAGAGGTCCATCTTGCTTTGCAAGCAGGCAGTCTGTTCTGTTCAGTACAGGAGCAGAGCAGCATTCCATGATACCTTCTGTATTTCCAGAAGTCTGTGGTTTACTGACATGCCAAGACAGAATTTGTGTTCACCTTTGTTTTTATTAACCTCTGCTAGCCTTTACATGGATGAAAAAGTAGCCACGTGCACTTCCATAACAACAGCCTGCAGTCACACACTGTAGAATTTAGCTTCATGTTCTGCCAAAAGCACTGTCCTTATTTTGTTTTAAGTCTTGAGCTTGCTTATTTAAGTTCAACTTTTCTAAACTCAATGGCACCTATTGTTTCCTGAGCTGTTATCCTCATTCAGTGGGCAAGGGAAGCTCAAATCATACCATAATTGCAATGAACTAGTCCTAAGAACAGGTTATTTGACTTTATCAGAATAATCAGCAGCTTCTGTCTGTTTTGGATACATAACTGAAGAAAAGAACTTAACCTTCCTGGCAGTGTTTCAATGCAGGGAATGCATCATCCTGTGCAGCACTGCAAAACTTTGGCTTTCGGTTATGGTCCTTACAACGCCAAGTATCAGTATCATGAATGAATAATACATGAAGAATAAGTCTCCTGAATTGGACTCAGACTTCTTGGGTTTATTCTGCTGAATGCAGGAATGTAAACACAATCTACAGAGTTATTATATGTGTTAATAAAAATTTCTTTTCCTTAGAAGTAACAATTTTTTGCACAACCAAAGGACTAACCAGCATTCTAGAACCCAATTTTAGCATGGCCTGATGCCTAAATATGTTGGCAGATTCATAATATGCATAATGTAAGCAATATGAGATGGAATTTTTTTCTAGCATTTCAAAACGCTGCGGGAATCAGTTACCTTCAAATATAATAAATGTAAATGCTTTCAAAACTAATTTCTGTTGGGACAATATTTAAATCATGACTTAATTATTATTGTTATTATTATTTTTAAAGGTATTCTTGTGAACTATGAGTCAGGAGAAACAAAACTGAGGTGGTTCTAAATGCACAAAAAAAGCTCGTTTTATCAGTGTTCACAAGTATTTCTTGTGAAACATAAGTTATCCTTGTGTATCGTGAAGTTGTTTCTGGTTCTAACTGGGCTCCATTTGTGCAGAACAGCTAAGAGTGATTTAACTGGAACGTTGGAAGCTTTGAAAAATGAATCAATAAATCTGATGTCTACAGATGCTGTAATAATTCTTTTTGGTTTCACTTACAACTCTACCTAGCTGTACCAAGTGTCAGGCTGCCAACAGCCTACAGATTGCTGGACAGATGAATTTGTTATTTTGGTGTATCTTAATGAATCTTAAATACTGTACAGATGGGCAGTTGCAAATCTTGTTACCTCTGTTGGTTCTGGTTGAATTTATCATCTGATGGAGATTTACATACATCTCCAGAGTGGGAATGCCATTTTTATGTGGGTTAGAATGAAGGATGAGGGAGAATATCAACTGAAAATAATGTTAAGCCTTCATGTTAATGTGTCTACATAAACTTGCTTTCATTCCTCCTAAATAAATGAACCATGTACAAGATGAAAGGATTTAGGCAAGTTTTAAGTACTACATATGTAAGATGGTGTGAAATGAATACAAACACAGCAGCATTTGAACACTGTCTAATGGTGTCTTATGAATGAATCCCTGATCAGATATTATTAGCTACAATACATAGCTGAAATGTAAGTTTTTCTGAGGAACAAATTTCAGTCTTGAAAATACTCTGTTTCAGCTTAATTTTAAACTGTTTTTCATCTTCCTGTCTATGAAAATGCATGTTTTGTATTGTCTGGTGTTCTTTTCCTAATGTATGTGTCCTTTTCAACTGTCTTTTGCTTGATTATTTTCAGCTGATTTTTGCTGTTCTTTCAGGAAAAAATGTTATTACACTGACTGGAGGAGCAAAACCATGGGCAGGTTGGTGGGTGATGTGTAGCTTCTAATATTTCAAATAGTCACCCAGCTAAATAAAATCCATTTGCAGTTGTAAATTTATCCAGGAAACTTGGATACATCACATTATTTCACTGAAAACTCAAAATACGCTAGCTCCAAGTGCTAAAATATTCTGTAACAAGATGCAGTACTTTTAAGTTTTGCCAGTTCTCATTTTAGAAATGCAGATGCGCTTATGCCAGGAAAAAAAGTGACCCTTTTCCTGGCAGCAAAGATTTTATACTGAATCCAGCTCTACAGTTACGTCTTCTCCTACAGAGAGATGTTTCTTTAGCATGTAAGCTACTTTTGAGTGCACGTCTTCAGTCTGAATTCTCTCGTCAGCTATTTTTTGGAGGTGCAAATGTATCATCTCTCATATGCATTCTGTTGATCAGGACTAAATCAATGACAAGCTTTGAAGGCTGGATTGAATTTTTATTTGATAGCTGACAGTAATGTTTTTGCTGCAGTAGAAGACCTTTCACTCTCTGAGCTCTCACAGTATCACCAGGATTGGAAAAGTCCTCCCAGATCATCTGTTCTAACAGTCCAACCTTTCAACCTTTGACTCTGCCATTACTGTAAATGGATCTCTTCCCTGAAAGCCATCCAGCCGTAGCATTGGATGCCAACCTCACCTCCAGTTGCTCCTGGCAGTTAGGAGGGAAGTGAGTGAAGCAGGAGGAGCCTGGGCGAGCCAGGGAACCGTAACTGCCCCCTCCTGCTTTAGTCAGGTGTCATGAAGTCTTGTAAATCCTAATTGCCTGTGGAAAATGTATGAAAGTGTTTACAAGAGAAATCTCCTAAGATTTTTATGTTCTGGGTTTTCTTGAGATGAATCTTTAAATTACATTCGATTTTGGTTCTCCTGCTGTTACTTTAGATGATGAAGAGTTCTCATTATTTTCCACGAACAATTTGCAGAGTCTCATGGTAACAGTTTGCAAAGTAATCAGTTAGCAAAAATAGGCAATGTACTGCTGAACATCAAAGTAAGACAAAATACATAAACAAGTTAAAATGAAACAACCTATAACATAAATTTACAACTGCATTTTTCCTCTTTCCAATCATCCACATGCTTGCTCCATTTTAGTGTGCATTATGAAAAAGTGATGTGCTTCGTAATGCAAAGGCAAAATTAACTGAGCTTACTGCAGAGTTATTTTTTTTAAATCCATCTGGTGAGTCCTAGGTATTAAACAAATTTGTCTTCCTTGTTTAGAAGGACAGATGTCTGAAACGTTGTTGAAGTCATACAGTACCTGTGAACCAAGTAGTAAACAATTTTAATGACAGCTTGAATTTACATTTGAGACAAGTGTTTTTTACCTGTGATTTAACTGGAATTTGGGGCTCTTTTTTTAAAAATATGTTTTCTCTGATATTTTGTACAGTCAGGTGCAGAAAGGAATAATTTTGGGGGAAAAAAAGCTAACTTTAAAATTGCTGACACACATCTCATCATTCTCATTGTTGCTGCTGTCATTGTCTTTTACATCTTAAATCTTCTCAGGTTTAACTTCTCTGTAATTTGTCAAGCATTTCTGAACATTTCTAAGCTAAGTGGGGCTTACAGGAGGTAGGATGGGGAATGTAGATTTAAATCTTTGTACATCAAAGGTAAAATTTTAAAGCCACTGAGTTTCCGTGGTTAAGAATACGGGTAATGCTGTTACATCAGCCTTACTGTGATATATGCGTTTCTCTGAATCTATCAGTGCAGTGTGGTAGATGTGTATGTCTGCACGTCTGTAAGTCTGTAAAAGATTATTTGGAGCATGCTTAAAGCAGTGAAGGTGAATGTAACACTTACTGATAGAATGTGTTTCTTCTACATGATATCTACATGATATCTCTCTCCCTATTTACTTATTTGCATAAATTTACGGTCATGTATGTTAAATTGACCTTGTATCTGCCCTATGAGACATCCCAAAGCCAGCTAAGGTACTCAGCAAGACTTGTAGAACCTCTTGGTTTTTTTTTGTCAGAATATGAGAGGCAAACACAGAAGAAATGGCTGGGTACTGACTGATGTCAAAGCATCCTACATGAGCAGTTGCTCAGTTTTGGTGTCTCATTCCATTATAACCGTGGATTCTGGTCAGAAAATCCAAGTAGTGGTTTCATAAGAAGAAATAATTGCTCCTTTAAGTCAGTGTGGTTAAAGAGTGAATAAGTGACAGAAGATCACTTCTATACACATAACATGTCAATATGGAGGTGCTGTATATCAAGCTGCCTTAACTCCTTGAAACCGCAGTCTCAGTGGATGGCCTCATCATGTTAGATTAGTTCTCAGGGCACCGAATTCACTTACATAGTGCTTCTTTCCACTGGCATCAGCTGAGTAAACATAATCTGCAGGGATTTTTGGACTTAGTTTATTCCAATTCTGTTCAGATCAGACAGGATGTTAAAACCATTTCCTCTTGTCCTATCACAACAGTGATAGGGGCAATATGAGCGTGTTGGCAGAGCTGATTTCTTTAAAATAATCATCAAATACATTATTTTTTTTTTTTTCAGATTTTGGAGAGTAAAAACGATCAAGGCTTTTTACATCATTTTACATTACTTTTTACTAGTCTAAAATAATTTCACAGTATAGAATCTGATATCAGATGCATTGTTCTTCTTCCTGATGTATCTGCATATCTGCCTGTTTTTAAATATATAATAAAAATCAGCATGTTGAGAACAGGAAAATAAAAGACAATCACATGAAAACTTCTTAGATATACTGCGTGTAACTTTGTGCTGGAGAGCTTCCATTGAAACTATTAAGATAATCATCTTGCACGGTAAGATATTGTTTGAGAAGGGATGCATCTGTGTGGGAATTGTTTTCTGTTTCAGCTTTATGAACTCAGTTCATGTGAGTTCTGTTTCTCATAATGCTTAGTATCAAGTGTTTCCCTCAGGTGCAGAACAATTAAATACCTACCATGCACCAACACCTTAGTAAACATGTAGCAAGAAGATATTGAGAATTTTAAATGCAAATTTAAAATGATGATCCCACACTTGGTTTAGTTTTCTCTCTGACATGGTGTTAGATAAGGGTAGAGCTTTCACTGCTTTTGTGGATAATAAGGGTCACTTTTCCACAAAAGCATCTTCTCTGCCTGAGCACAACTTCCTGTGTGCTCACTTTAATTAGGAAATGGAGAACTCTGCTTCTGCTTAACGCAGGGATTCTATATTTATCTCTAGCAAAAATCATGCACTTAGCATTACACTTCTTGTGGCTCCCTCTATGTCAGGCACACGTTGGCACTGAGTGAGGCCCACATCCCACTGAAAAATATTATGGGGGAAATATTTACCAAAATTCCCCCCCCTTTTCTTTTTTTTTTTTTTTTTTCCAGTATCTCTCATTTGATTCTGCTGTCATAAGACATCATTCTGTAGTGAGATCTACTCTTTAAATACACACAGTTATTGCAGTCCAATATAAGAAAAATGCAGGCCAACAAGCTGTGTAAAATTAGAGGAATAAGAAGATAAATTTCAGCATTTGCTTGGAAATAAACTATGCTGCAGTGTATTATTCCATCTATGGACACTGTCCTGAGATACTGTTTAGTCAAAATGCCAGTGGAAGAAAGCCTTTTATTTACCTGTATGTGATCTAAACAGAAATAAAAAAATGTTCTGTTTGTGTTACAATGCTGATTTTTAGAGAACTGCAGGTAGTATAGCTTTTGCTTCATTTGCTATATCGCTATACTGTTTCCTGAGGTAAAGTCAGGAAATTACCTGTTTTCATTGCATTTCTATTATGATGTCACTGAATATTCAATGATGGATATAGAATTAGCCAGTGGATAAGAGCGTGCAAATTTACATTTGTTATTTTCTCAGTTTGCAGAGGAATATGAGAGAGCTGAAAAGTTGGTTGCCTAGAAATCCAATGAAGCTTGATAAGGAGGCCCTACCAGATCTTGAGGAAACAGATTGCTACACAGCACCCTTTAGCCGTGCTCGCATACACCAGTAAGTGTTGGAACTGGAAACACAGCTCCTCAGACCAGAAGGGTTTTCTATTTTCTCTCTCCTCAGCAAGTCCCATAGAGGCAGCCATTAACAGATGGTCACTGGCAAATACCCAGAATCATGTCTGATATTTTCTATGAAATTTACTCTTAAAGCAAAAAATCTGCTCTCTGTTACCTGTTATTGGGTGTTGCTATTTGTTATTTGGTTACAGCTAGTACTACAGGCAAAAGGTTGACTAAAAAATGACCGCCACTTTTTTTTTGGTTTAGAAGTTTGTTTTATTTTCCATTACATTACAAAATGCAAATACTTGCTCAAATTTGCTTACCTTGATTAAATGTTTTACTTAGGCAAAACCTGAGAAAGCTGTTGAAACTGGCAACACCTGGAAATGGGCTAAGTATATTGTCAGGGTTTTTGCTGTCAGCTGTGCATTTTAGAAATGCTGTTGTCTGTGAGAGAATAAGTATATATACTCCGAGGAAAAACTGTATGTGATCACCATCAACGTGCTCATTTGATCTAGTTTAACTGTGTTACAAATTTTTTAAGCAACAAAAGAGTAGAAGTGTTGAAATTCTAGCTGTTTATTTTAAAATTATTTTGTGATACTTATTTAGGAGAGGGAAGTTCATATGAAGTAAAAATGTAAGTTAGAGTGAATAGGTTTTTTTCTTCTCAGTAAAGAAGCTATGTGCAGGCAGACTGACTTCACCCTAGAAAGGCAGAATAATTGCATTATTATCTCAGGTTTTTTTTACTAATTAATTATATTGCATCGGGTCAGTTGCTCGTTCATGGTGCAGTTTTTCAACATGCTCAGCTGACGTGATGAACTGCAGTAGTGTCACCTTTGGCACAGCAGAGAAGGGAAAAGCTCCCACATGTCACATTTCTGGCATTCAGAATCCTCAGCCATCTGGGAATGGCTATTTGTGATATTTGGCTCTATCTTAGGATTCTCTGAGGGGAGGAAGTTGTGGAGCTGCTCCTCAAGCATCCGGTGCTCGCAGACGATCATTATTTCTCCCTGAATGGCAGTAGTAGTAGTTTTGTACTCAGATCTCTCAGTTATGTCATGAATTTCAGAACGATCGCTACTTCTGAAGAGTATTTTTGGTCATTGTTAGGACAGTTTGGAAAAAGCGATATTTTCTGTTTTCTCAACAATCTGTGCTAATGACAATTTTTTGGAGCCTGAGAAGGTGCTTTAAGAATGTCAAATTCTGTAACCAACAGCTGTAAAGCTACAATAAATCGCTGTAAGGAAAAACACATTTAGCAGCTACGATTCAGCACCTATGTATTGCTTTGAGTGTTAAAAGACATCCGTTATTTCAATAGCTTTACCATAAACAACAAAGACAGCTTCTTCAGCAACTCCACAAGAAGTAGAATTGTGCATCACATGCTACAGAGAACCAAGTATGAGGATGGAAAATCCAAAATGGGTGAGAATGCTATATTTTTTTCCTAGCCTGAAGATATGAGAATCTTATATTTCTGCTTGCTTGAGAAACTATTTAGCGAAGTAAAATTTAATTTTGCCATCCCTTGAAGTCTTTGTTCAACCAGTAATACACTTGAATGTATGTTGCGTGCAATTGTTCCATGAAATAGCTCAGTGAATATTAGGAATTGCTTCCACCTTAATACTCGTTTCTTAAATTGGAGAGGTTATAATAGCTTCATGTGATCAAGAGCCGTAAGAGAGATAACTTAGACCTCAGAGAACTGACATGAGTCTTCTAGGACTGGCCATAGAACTGCTATGACCCAGCAGTCCCAGACCAGCAGAATTGATCAGAACTACTCTTCAATTATCTGATGCCTCCATACAGTTCAGAGACAATTGACTTAAAGACTAAATCCAGTTTTTGCCAACACTCTTATTACTCTTATTATCTTATCATATACATTCTGTATTTCAGAAAGTCCAGTTATTCATTTTCTATTAAGAGCAATATATATATATATGACCTTCTGTTTGTCTGTAGGAAGTAAGAATTTAACATAGATGCATACTTACAAAGATGATAGCAATTACAAAATGTTGTTGCTTGAGTTTCTGGGAGAAAAGCAGCAGTAAGAAAATCATAGAAACTGAGGGATGAAGTCAAATGCTATTGAAAGTGATGGTGACAAGTTTCATCTTGTAATTAGTGTAATTTCTATAAATGGATAGATCAGAAATCTGTCATGAGAATTTACTTCTTAGATCAAGTTGGCTACACAAGTATGTCCTTACAGGCTACTGAGTCTTTTAACAGTTATTATTAAGGTTCTTTATTCCTTATTTTTTATAATGAACTTTGATGGTAGAATAAATATGGTTTTAGAAGGACTCTAGGAAAGGATCCAGATCCATTCATCCAGTCATTCAGATCCATCCAGATCTGATCTGACACAAACTCCTTCAGCTGGTTCATATTTAAAAGTAACAGGATATTCTCTCCATGCCTCTCACTGTATGATCATCTGTGTGTTCACGCCAGATCATCTGATCACCCATAAAATCTGTATCCTGTGCTCTGATTAATACAAGAGTGTGACCACCTTCTCACACTTGATCTGGCACAGGCACCCAACTGTGAGAGAAAAGTTGCAGCCGCTGACCTTCAGAATGCTGTAGTTTAACACAACCAGAGAGCTTGAGGGATCAAAAGACCCCGGTGGGTCTGCTGATGATTTTTATATTCAGCAGCATCCTGAATACCTGATAGGAATTTGGATTCTCCTTTTGTGACATGAAGATTCTCAGTGTTTAAAGCTAACTCTATATTGAAAAAATGTCATTGAAACTACTGCATTTCTTTCTTTTTAGGTATTAATAGATTACTAAACAATGGAACATATGAGGCAGCATTTCCACCACATGAGGTAACCTCATTAATTTTGCATTTGGATTTACATTTTGATTAAAACTTGCACTATTTTGAGATACTTCATGGTTTATAATTTTGTCTTGCAAGTTTTTCTATTTCACTACGTAATGCTGAGTTATTAACAGCTCTTAAATTAACATTGGCTTCATGAGGTTTTTTTCTTTAGCTGCCACCATTTAAAAACACTCTTTTTTTTTCCTAATGGGTTGTGCAGTAAATCAAACTTAGGGAAACTGGTTATTTATTTTCTTTTTAGACCTTTTTGCATAGTCCTGGATAATTTGTGCTTGACAGTATCTTCTTCAGTAGATTAGAGTCTACTGAAGTCTGCAGAGGTGTGAAATGAATGAAAAACTTTCTTTATGTTTTGAAAGGAAAGAAGCAACCCACACATCTTTTGTCATCATAAATGCCTACCAGTAGCATGGTAATTGCAGCTGTGAGCACTGTGGTTAATTGGTCTGAATGCTGTGACTTTATCTTGTGTTTCAAAGGACCAGTTTATGGTTTAGAAATTGCTGAGGGTGATTTTTTATGTTGCATTAATAATACAGGAAATACAGTGAAGGAGTATTTTAGGGAAATAATTGAGTTAACACTTCAGTCGGGCATTACTGTAGGGAAAGGTCAGTCGTACTGCCAGAAAAAGCTGTGTAGCTTTCTGTTGCTAACAAATCCATGCTCTCATACCCACTTTGTGACATAACACAGAAATGTATACACAAGCAACGATTTCAGAATCACAGAATCGCAGAATGGCCAGGGTTGGAAGGCACCTCAAGGATCATGAACCTCCAGCACCCCTGCCACATGCAGGGCCCCCAACCTCCCCATTTAATTCTAGACCAGGCTGCCCAGGGCCCCATCCAACGTGGCCTTGAACACCTCCAGGGACAGCGCATTTCAGCTTAATGAAGTCAGATTTTTAAGCCACTCTTACCTTAATTGCAGTTTTACTGGTCCTAGGGATAGCAGTTAAACACTTCACTTTTTTCTTTTTTTAATCACAGAAATAAACAAGAGTGAAAATTCATTCCCTATGGGAACACTATGGGACTTGCTATGGATAAACAGTGCAAAAAGAAGCAGAAAAAAATACTTGAAATGTAGAGGAGTGGACAATGCTTTATGCTATGCACTCATTCTTTCAGATGACTGTGAAAATAAGCTGATGTTCTGTCCTTAGGGATTTCTAGATGTTGCTAAAACCATTCTGTGCTGGCATTTTTCTATGCTTTGCTGATTTTATTGCAAAACACTGTTTTTAAGTCATTCTTAAACCAGATAGCAGATTCCAACAAATAGTGCTATTTCAATTCTGAGCAATTCTCAAGTTATCAAATAAATTATAAAAAACTCAAAATGGCTAAAAGTACTTGAGTCAATCAGGTTCAAGAGTGTCTCTGCATTCTTCCCACAATGTGATTTACCTGTGAGTTGTTTGATGAAACATTCATTTTCCATAAGTCTGTACTGCTCAATGAAAGTAAATTCTGGGGGAGGTTCAAAATAATGCCAGTTCTATTGTTTCTACCTTATCAGCCTTTCCTACAGTTTCCTATACTTTTTAATAGGAGTTAAATAATATCACTGGAAATATCTAGGACAGAAGGATCTAGCTGACCTACCAAAATTTTTTAGGGAGGGATAAAACAGATGCCATAATGTATTTCATGAGAGTTTTTGAAAAGTTGAAATGAGTAAAAGCATACGAATAAGCATAGAATAATGAAATTGAAATACTGTTCTTGGAGTAGCATAGAGCTGAGTAGTTCTTGATAGCCTTATAGTAGTGATGTTGTCATTACTTCTTGCAGAAGCTGGCTGTTTGAGAAGGGTATGTAACTGTCTCTCTTGCGAGTTTACATACTAGCAGGTGACATTTCCAGGAGTTGTCCCTAACAAATTGACATCTATTCATTAAAAGTAGTAAAATCTTCATTTAAAATTAGATTCCGATATAGAAGGAATGAATTCATTTCCCGTAATGTCCAGTAACATGTTTTCATTTCTTTGTGGGTTGTTTTTTTTCTTTACAGGGAAGCCACAAAAGCAGACATCCCATCAAAACACATGGAGCTCAGAATCACAGGCACCTCTTATATGAGCGTTGGGCACGGTGGGGAATGTGGTACAAGTACCAACCTCTTGATTTAATCAGGTATTAGTACTTTTAAAAACAGCTTGTTGATACAGAGAGCCTGGAAATGATGCATAATCTATTCTGCTGAACTGTTAATTCTTCTTACACCTTCTGTAAAATTTATTACTGTCAGGTAAGAATTGGACTCTCTACACTGCTTCCTTTGAGTGGTCACAAATGTGCAAGGCCATTAATTTCAGACAAGACTGAATGGAAGTATATATATCCAGATGCAGGGTGAAAATTAATTACAACAAGCGATTAGTATTTTAATGTCATAAATTCCCAACTGTAAAGCAGAGAAATATATTTAATTAGAGTGATGTAACAGTGTTGTCTGGATTTCATCTTTTCCTCAACAATTAAATCACTTTTCCTTTCTGATAGTTTTCACTCCTGATCCAACAGTCATAAATAGTCATTACACAGAGAATTGCTGCACCGAAGGCTGTGGAACTAAGCATGTGCTGACTTCTCATTTTCTGTTCACTGCTACTTCATCTCTTACAGCAACTGATATCCAAGCTTTTAAGATTTAAAGCTGAATCTTCAGCTTGTCTTTTCAGTCTCTGTTAATAATTTGAAATATGACATATTATGTGACGGCTCATCATAAGTGATTTTTATAATAGAATACTTAAGTAATGCAAACCTGTACTGTTGCTTTCTGGAAGCTGTGTGTCTAAGTCTGTATGCTGTGTGTGAATAAACTCTCCTCCATTTAACAATGTTGAAATGGGTGCCTCTATTTAGTCATTGGGAGGAACTGAAAATTGTAGAATACTTCAAATACATCCTTATAAAATACATGTTCTAATAAGTCTACAATTAGCGTGACCAGAATTTTGTGCTAGCCTAAAGTAAAACATTTTTGTAAACTGACAGCAGTATGTACTATAAGCTTGTAATGGTGATTGCTTGTCAGTGTTGCTATACTAATTGTGAAGACAGTGGTTACTGCAAGTTTTGATTTGAGAAAATATATACATTTCCTTTTCATGTAGGCGATATTTTGGTGAAAAAATTGGACTGTATTTTGCCTGGTTGGGATGGTATACTGGAATGCTGATTCCTGCTGCTCTGGTTGGACTCTTTGTTTTCCTTTATGGACTGTTTACGATGGATTCCAGCCAAGTAAGGTAAAATCCCATTTGAAAACATAAAATAACCTGTTGAAAATAAAGAACAACCTGGCACAAGTTAGATCATTTTACTTGTAAATGCTTTTCAGATATTGTAATCATAATAATAACCAAATAGAACGCTGGGTTATTCAATCAAGTGTATCCACTTTGTATATCTGTTTTGCATCAAGGTGAATGCAGAGTGTTTACAGCAAGCACTCTTACCATTGCATCTGCAATGATTTCCATTCCTGCAAGAAGTGAAAGAAATGCTGATTCTAATGTCACATGTACTGCTATGGTTATCATTCCAGTCAAAGCTAATGGGTGAAAAATAGTGACACATTCTTTAATTTTACTTCCATCTTGCCTTTGGCTGTAGGTTAGTACAGTTGTAAATTTCAACTTATGTGTATTTTTTTTTCCCTTCCAACTGTTAGTGGTGTCAAATTTGTGGATGTAAGCTGCAGCCATCTGAGGGCGTTACAACCATGTGAAAGGCTCCTCATTTCCATGTTCCCCACGGTTGTGATTTTGCTCTGAGAGTGGCTTATGTCAGTTTAGAAATAATGACAAGACTGTTACACTGGAGTGCTAACTGTATTTTTAGGAACTGTTTCAAGAGGAAGTGACCTTGTTACAGGTTATTTTCCGTAATAAAGTTATTAATGATCATACAATTATAGCTGTGGCTCCAACCAGTTTGGATGCTCAGGCAGCGTGCACAGTGGAATCTGATTTCATAGGTGATGTTTCCTGGATTTGGAGGAGTATTTGACAGCTCTATGTGGAATTGTCTTTGTTTTCTCTTACACAGGGAGTTATTATGTTCCTCAGTTCTGTAATTAAGGCTTTTCTATTTTACACCAAACTCCAGAGAGCCTTTACAACTTCAGACTGTATAATAAATATATATTTATTATAAATGTAATAAAATGCAATAAGCATACTGGGCAGGAAATGATGCTATCTTTCTCTGCATTAGGGTTGTTTTGAACAATGAATGTGTGTGAAATGCACCAGATGTGAAAAGCAAATAGAGGATCATCCTGTTCTTGAGCACAAGTATTGGAAGTATTGAACTGGGAGACTTACATTCTTCACCTTTTCAATGGCACATTTAAAGCAAGCGGGAGCTTGTCGTTATCTGTTCTCAGGATGTGATACTCCAGGCACTAGAAGAGAAGTTGTAACATTGATACTCCCCAAGAGAAAAACAAAAACAAAAACACAACAGAATTTGTCAGAATTTAAACAAATTAATGGTATACCAAACTTAGAGCTGTGATATGCTTGTGCGGGTGTTGTGTGCTGCTTCTCCCTTGAATACATGTCTCCAGTTTAGCACATTAATAGGAGAAACAGTTGTTTTGCATACAGGACTTTTAGGGTATGATTCTCAGATAGGCAGAAGTAGGCCAGCCTTCGTATTTTCCAGTCCGGTTTTTTTCCCTTGGCTGATGTTGAGCAGCTGCACATGAAACATGCAGGTTCGTGGAGTTTGGTTGTTTCAGGTTCCACGCTGGGGTGCTTCAGTGTAATGTTGGGCTACACAGAAAGCTAAGACCCACCAGGGGCTCTGGACTCTTTTCTAAAAGCAAAAGTCTGAAATTTAGGTCATGTGTTGTATAGGTTTAAGGGGAGGGTGCAGTTATATATTGATATAGCTAACACTAACTAGTATCAAGTTCAAAATACCAATAGAGTTAATACAGAAGCCTGGTGTTCTGTGCAGTCCCAAAACGTTTGTAATCTGGATGTGTTCATTCTAGGCAAGTCATCGCTGGTTTGTGGAGTGAGAATTTGTGCATTCACTTTGACTTATCGTGGCACAGTAGTGCCATCTCTGTGCATTGCTGCAAACAGATTAGTAAGACCAAATCTAGGTATAGGAAACCCAGTTGCAATTAGGAATTTAGGCTCAGTACCAAGGTATCATGACAGTGTCCTCACAGCCACATTACCCCAGATCCAGGATTATTTTTTCACGTGGAACTGAGCATTCATCCTATCAATGTCTGTAATTATCAATCAGTAGATATTAGGAAGTGCTGATTTACAGTATTATGAATTATATGGGGAAAAATAATGGTTTTCATCTGTCTGCAAAACTTGAGCTTGCAAGTGATGCAATTATTTTTGAAGAAGCATGCTTTTCTCAGTAATGCCCATTCACCTCTCAGGATTATGAAGCTGGCTTGAAGGTAGCTATCGTTAACCTCCCTCTAGTGGCTGCAGGCAGAAGAAGAATCACAGAATCACAGAATAGCCAGGGTTGGAAGGCACCTCAAGGATCATGAATCTCCAACCCCCTGCCACATGCAGGTCCACCAGCCTCCACATTTAATGCTAAACCAGGCTGCCCAGGGCCCCATCCAACGTGGCCTTGAACACCTCCAGGGACGGGGCATCCACAACCTCTCTGGGCAGTCTGCTCCAGTATCTTCCTCTGCTGAAAGAAGTACATTAGCTTTCAAATCGGATTGAATCACACGGTGATTGAGCATGAAGAAAGGTGAAACAATAAAATGAGAAGACAAATCCTCCAATACACTGCAGCATCAGGAACTGTGCTATACTGTTGTAAGCAAGTGTGTGTGTTTGCCCCGTGTTTTGAAACATATTTTTCTCCATGGCGATGCAGTTTTATTGAAAGTGATGTGGAATGGAAGATGTTCTTTTTCTTGTATGAGATTGCAGTCAGGCTTGGTAAAATGTTGCTGCCAGGATTTGGCACTGTGGTCTCCCAGGGTGCTTTGGCTGTTGTGTCGATCAATACTTCCAGAGCTCAGCTGTTAAATGAATGCAACCAAGTGAGAAATTCTGAGTTTAAAAACAAAAAACTCCACAGTTGTTTCCAGAATATTTGGAGTGTTTGGATTACATTTTAAAGGCTCAGATATGAAGGAAGAAAAAAGCAGAAAGTGAGTGTGTATGTCTGGTTTCATACACTTTTAAATACATTTTGATCCCTTTACACTTCCTGAGCTGAACTGGGAAAAGTGTGGTTGTTGTGAGAAGGGTTTAATAGACCTTTACAAGTCTTTTCATTTGAGTTCTTTCTTTTAAGCAAGTTTTGTGGCACGTGCATTGCGCATCTTTATATAAACTAAATCTGATGGCTTTGAAGGTTGCTTTGGGCGCCTTTATAGAGATCTTTAATTATCACTGTTATAATTTCGCCAGATATCAACACAGCATGGCTATCCCTGGCAGCTCAATTTGGTGAAATCCACGTTACGCAAAACAAACCAAGACTGTAACTCAAGGTTTAGGGTGCAAAGCACCCAGCATTTGTAATGTTGAAATCAAAGTACACTTGCATTTGGCCTTATGTTTGACAACAAACTGCATCACTGTTTGTCAGCCATTGTATCCCACTGTTGAAAAATTATTTCCTTTGCTTGCATATGTGCAAATGGAAATGCAATCAAGAAAATCCTGTTATGTGGCACACTAAAAGTTATGTACTGCTCTGCTGCTCTGAAATGATAGCTGTGCTCATTCTAGCTTTCGGGGCTGCTTGCAACAATTTCTTAAGTCCACATTATGGTGTAAGGCTTTCGTGAATTAGTGGTTATGATGTGAAGCACAACCTAAGGTCTCAAAATGTCACATCCCGGCAGCTGTGGTCTTTTCTTCACCGTTATGTCGGATGGGATTTAATAGATGTACTCATTTGGAAATAAACATAATCCTCCATATACTATTAGAAGTGTAAATTCAGGTTTTATGAGAAGTAATGAAAGCACAATGTTAATTAAATCAGTAATTTCCTGCTATTTGCTTTATACCATTACTTTCTTAGTATGACATAGGATCATTTCAGGCTTGTCAGCGTTGCTGATGGTGATTGTTAAGGTTCTCTGTTTACTCATCACAGATAAAATTCGCCCTAAAATTCATTTTTGTACTTTTCTTCATTTTGCTTTGCCTTTGTCAGGGCACTTAATTACATAATACTTCTGAATATGAATATATGAGTAGTCCTAATGAAGCCAATGACTTAATATCCCCAAATCTTAGAACCTCTAAGCAGTAGAATGCAGTTTTTAGATATTTTACCCCCAAATTAGGATACTGTTTTGTTGTTATCCCTAAACATAGGTTCTCCCATACATAATAAAAATGCAAAGATTTGAATTGCTAATGCCAGATTTCCCTCTTAGTGGGAATATTTTTATGCTGTGACCCAGTGATTGAAGTGTGTGCACAGCCATACTACGGGACTGACCTGAAGTTGATGTCAGCTTGGATAAGTTGATTGAAATCAGTGATGTCCATCTGCTCATGTTTTGTGTCTTCTATTTCATATCATACATGCAGTAATTTGATTGACAGCTAGGAAACGATGTTTTGTTCTTCAGTTTGTTGTAGTTCTCTGGGAGAGAATGGGATGTTTACAAGAGCAAGTAGTTTAGCATGATGCCCAAAGATATTATGTCAATGATAGGGCCCACAGTTCTAACGTTTCTGGCCTAAGATAAAGGCCAGAATGCCTTTTTATTTACTTTGAGTCAGCTTTGTGGTTAGGCTGTGTTAACTAATAGAGACCACAAATGATGTAGCTTCAGAAAATCTCGAGGATGCTGAAAGCCTTTTAATAACCTTTATTTTCCTATTTTACACTAAAGCAAAGAGATCTGCGAGGCAAATGAAACCATCATGTGCCCTATGTGTGAACGCAATTGCACACTGCAAAAGCTCAATGAAAGCTGCATATATGCCAAGGTAATTATTAGTTTACTGCTATCATGAATGTTTTTGTCTAAAGGCCCACATTCATTCTGCAATGGCAGCCCTTATTGCAGCAAAGATTTCAGATTGTGTCGTTTATGAGTTTTCAGCCTCTGTATTCTGCGCTTCTAAGAATGGAATAATCTGGGAGGTGTGGAGGTGATTCTAAAATTTGCTTTACTTTCTGAGAATATTTTCTTCCTACATCATTATTTCTATCGATTGATAAATTCCCCTGAATTAAAAAAAAATGATAATCTCGGGAGTTTATTCCTACTTTTCTCTATGTTTTGTTGTTCTTTGCTTGCTTGGTAACTAAATTTCTGCTCTTCAAAAGGATTTCTCGAGCATTTCACAGGATTATCTTGTCTATGATGTACTATACTTTGTCAAACTAATGCAAAGAATTAACACAACTAAATATTTTGCTAGTAGAAGCCATCCTTCAAACTTAGCTGATCACAAGTACTTCTGTATACGTGCAGTGCTTTCAGGTGAGCAATATGCTTTGATGTTTGCTATGTTCATGGCTGGAAGAGCAGCCTTGGCATTTTTCTCCAATTTCTTTAGCCCGTAGGACAAGCTTTGCTCAGAAGTCAGGATTTATTTTAGTTATAGAGCTGTGATTGTCTCTGGATCCATGACATCACGAGAACACTAAGCAGTGTAAAAGAGAATCAACTCTTCATTGGATTCAGAAACCTGATTTCAACAGGACTTGAAGTAGAACTCTGAACTTAGAAACTTCATGTGAAGGAGCATTTGATAAACGTGAATTAAATGATCAGTATTTGTAAAAATTTGGCTTTTTATTTTTGTGATGCCACATTGAAAAATGAAAAAGTTGTATTTGAACAACAGCAATAAATACTGCTATAAATGTTATATTTAAGGCTAAACTGTGCTTGGTTTTTACATACTGCTATAACTTTATGGCAAAATAGAACTTTTTTCCTAACTTGAACTACTTTCATAAGTTTTTAAAATGTGCACTGAAGATAAAAGCTTTCTTAATTGAAATGATATTATGCAAAACTTACAACCCATCCCAGAAATCTCTTATTAGATGACAAGCAACTTATGCAGCAAGTTACTGCAGCAAGTTACTTTTGACAGGAAATTAATACACATTGCTATTGGGGCATATTTTATTTTAACGACCTCAGTTAATAAAAAGCAGATTTTGTCTTTCAATTATGTTTATATTGCATCTGGCCCGTGAGTCATGCTTTTTAATGTCACATTTTGGTGTCTGCAAAACTTGTGGAAAGTAATGTAGGCTCCCAGCTTTTTCTGCCAATGCTTTAGCTCCACTAACTAGCCAACCTCAGATGGAAACACAGAAAACAAATAAGTTTTTCCTATTGGGATCTGTATGTTCTGCATCTCCCCTGTCTGGGGCTGATCAGTGTTCTGCATACATGGGTAACGTGTGCTTCATGTGCAAAGATTGGTCTTCAAAGGACAGACAGAAGCTTTTCTTTGGGAAAAAATATGATAACCATCTGGCTACTAGAATGGCAAAAGAAGTTTCATGAGGTTTTATATTACTGTGTAATGCCTTCATTCTCTGTGTTGTCTCCAAAGAAAAGTTCTTTACATCTTCAGTCATCTCTCTCTTGCTAGGAAAGGGCTGGTGTCCATAAGGGCTCTTATCCTGCTGATTGTCCTGTGCTGCTTGAGTTGAGCAGCAAAAACCCAAGCACTGCATCTGCATGGCAACGAGTGAATGAAAGTGATCTGTAATGCTAGAAAGTACAATCTTACTTCAAATGAAATATTGCTTTTTACTTTCTGAAGCACCATTAATAACAGAAATAGAAATATTTTATTTAAAAATAAGGCATCAGATCTGAACTCTGGGTAAAGAAAATGGCATTGCCTATTTGCTTTCTATACCTGAAATGGAGCCTGTCCATGTTTCCCTCTGGTTTTGTTGTTTAGAGAATTTGACTTATTTCTACACCTTCCTCACACACAACCAAATAGCTGTATACAAGGGAGGTTCTTTTTGTTACATTTCAGGGAAACATACTCTTGTTCCGGAATAAGACTTTTGTTACTTATTCTGTTCTTTGGAGCAACTCATTGTATATAAGTATGCTAGCATTAAGTTTATCAAGAAAAGTGAATTTTACTTCCTCAAGCCTGCTTATGTCCTGGGACCTGCCTCACTTATATGAAAGACTTGGGCTCATATTTCTTTTTATTAAAATTGCTGTCAGGGTTTCTTTCATCAAACATTCCTTTCTTACATTTCCCAAGTTTCCCTTCAGAGGAGTACTTCAGAGAAAGCAAAGTAATGCAGGAAAATCATGTACTTCAAATGCTTTTTCTGTAGTTTCTTGCCAGGCTGGCAGACAAAATACAAAAGCTGCGTTTTTCCTTCTTGCTCCTGCACATTTCTTTCATCCCTTCCCTCTTTTTTTCCATGTCTGTATAAAAATACTCCATTACTGTAAAGATTATAATTTAAGGGAAAGTCATGTAATATCTGACTTGTAATCTGAATTGCTGAATGCCCAAGCTGTCATCCTTACCCACTTGATCTCTTTGATTAGCAGAGGTGATCAGCGTGATGCATGGTTGGTTCTTGGGCTGGTTCTGTTCCCAGCACACCTTGCACTGGAGCTCACTGGTAGGGTGTTGATTCGGAGTGGATTTGAAGTGTGTAAAGTGATAGTGATGGTGTGCTGACTGACCAGCATCCTGACTGAGTGTGGTGCTTCTTCCTCTTCAGTTTCTCATCCTAGCATATGCCTTGTTACAAGTTAGCCTGCATTATCTTGTAACATTCTGTGCTTTTTTTCTTATTTTTCCCTTTCTCCAAATTGTGAATTTGAAGGCTGTAGTTTCCTTCCTAATGCTCAGCAGCATCTTAACCACCTTTCATAAGAAGAAACGTAGGTCCGCTATTCCTGGATAATTTACCGTGCTGTCAATTGGCAACATGACCTTGATTTAAAGAGCATCGTATCATTCATTTCAGCTTCCTAAATACAACTTCTTATTATGGTTGGCCTATAAAAAGCTCTGGATTTTTGTTGTAAAAATTCTAATGTATGCACAAGAAAGATTCCTAGGGTGATCCACAGGCTTGCAAAAACTAATTATGCCTTACTTCCTATTGGTAATCTTTGAACCTTACAGCAGGATACATATTCTGCCCCAGAGAGCTTACAAGAAAGAGTGAGATAAGGGATAAATCATGGAATCGTAGGATCAGTAGTAGAGCATTTATGAAGGGAAATTAGATACATTACTTATATTTACATTTCAGAGTTGATTACTTAGAATTTATTGCGTGTTTCTCGGAGTTGAGGGGTACTGGCCTTTCAACAAGGAGAATTTGCTGAGATGTCTGTATGTAAAGTAATTTTATTTCTCTGCCTGCAGAGAAATTGTGGAATAGCTTGGAAGAAGTAGAGAATGAAATTAAGAGACATTAACTAGTATTCATAGGAAGAACAGTGAAACATCTGAAGTAAATTGGGATTGTGAAAGCCTTAAAATAGAAAATGACCTAGAATCCAAGGGCAATTCTGGAGGAATTTTTAGCCTGTCTGGTCACAGAGCATCTCCTACTTGTTGTCAGTGATGTAAGCAGTCTGGCGATGCTTGAAGTGATAGCCTAGAAAAACAGCTCAAATTATAGACAAAAATAGGATGGAACAAACATTGATAATAGAAGCATGCAAGCAGGACTCCCTCCTGCAATGCTTGGCTTTTAATTTCTGCCATCACTTATGTACTCTGGATTTCTTTGGTGCTGAAGTGAAAGTGGCAATGTTGTTTGTTACTGATGTATTTATTTTCTGTTCAGGTTACACATTTGTTTGATAACGGAGGGACTGTCTTCTTTGCTATTTTCATGGCAATCTGGGGTAAGTAAATTTTAATATTTTGTTTTTTAATTGACCTGCCCCTTTTTGAGGATTACTGGATTAAAAGGTTGTAGTTAATAATAAAAATTAAAGAAGGATTAAGTTTCTATTGCATAAACACTTATTTTTTCCTGTTTTCATCCACTTCAATTACTGTGCTAGCAGTGGTTGAAAATAATGCCTTTTATTGCTAATATAATGACTATCTTTAGTGTCTTAAGTGCCCTTAAGCCTGAGTTTTATATCATGCAGGCAAACATGTGGGGTAATTTCATAGAGTCACAGAACTCTTACAGTTGGAAAAGGCCTTTAAAGGTCATTTAGTCCAACTGCCCTGTAATGAACAGAGCTACAGCTAGATCAAGTGCTCAGAGCCTGTGTAGAGAATTCTTACAGAGTGAATGAGAATGCTTTGCAGAGCTAATTAGAGGATAATAAAGATTTGATGATAGATGTTTACAGCAATTTAACTATTTATATTCAAATTCACAGTTGAAATAACACATTCATTGCAACATCACGTGCTATGTCATGGGGAGTGGAGCAGGGTGCTAACCAAGGGGCTGTGTTGAACAGGAATTACCAGTAACACTTTTCTCTTTGAGAAGGTCAATATAATACTGCCACACAAAACAGATGTGATGGTTCCAGCATGAAACATTTAATGGAATTAGTTGTCACTGAAGCTTATAGTATTTTGCTGCTGGAAAGTAAAAAAGACTGGTATTAGGAGCAGGAGATAATTAATTTCACCAATGTAAACATGTGTCTGTGTAAACCCTGAGATAATAGCATCAGGTCACATACATACACATGTCAGAAATGGAGCCAACTATTACAATTCTAAATATTCAAATGACACAACATATCTATATTTACATAAAATATAAGGTAATTTCATAAGACAATAATGTAATAATATTATATATATAATATAATGTAATATGTATAATGTATATAGCATAATGTAATAATAATAATGTAAGATAATATCATAAGATAATGATCATTCTGTTTACAGTCAAGGGTGAACATGTTACAAATTTCAAAAGCTGGCCTGGTAAGAGCTGAAAAACAATATACAAACCTGAAAGATGTACCAGAATAGCACAAACCTTATGCACATGCACGCAGAAGTCATGACTAGATTAAAAATTAGCACAATTGATGGGTATCCTTGGGTTCCCTTCCAACCCAAGCCATACTTGATACTTCTCCATTGGCTCCTACTCTTCCTGTTATAGCCTTGCAATTACTAATAATTAATTGCATAAACTGCTAAAATACACAGTTGCTGCTATGGTTCTGTACTGGTGGAGAGAGCAGTGGCTCAGACGAGGCCAGGAGAAAGGGACACATAAGATGTGCTGGTAAAGCTAAAAGCTGAGCATTGCGTTTTTTTGTATTCTCAAGCAAGTGAATGTGTCTTCATTTTTTCAGTCTGAAAACACTCTGGAAACACTGTCAAGTTCTATCTGAAATGGGAGTCATGCAGATTTCATTACTGATCCCTACAGGAATGGCATCAATGCTCGCTAGGCATTCAATTCTATACTCTTTCAACTACTTTGAAATAGATACGTGCCCTGTTCTTCTTCAGTGTGACATCCACTGTTTCTCTCTGTCGTGTGTGCATGCTTATGATTTATTCACACATTGCAACATTTACAGTGAGTTAGTGAGATTGTTCCACCGGTGTGATTGCAGTCTCCACAATAAATTAGGCATTCTAACATTGTAGTATCAAGCATGTATTCGTATGAGTAGCTATTTTCTGCGCACTCCATTCAATTTGTTTTGTCTTTTGTTACGTTTCTACCTCCACAGCTCTGCCTTTTTCATTTTCTTTCTTTCTAAATATGCCATATTTTTACTCATTAGCTGGACACAGCACATGCTTTTTGAGATATCTATACGTATGGCAGTGCTAATTCTTTCACATTGAGACAATTATTTCCTCTGTCTAACCTTTACAAAACGTGTTGCATAATTTCTACGGATCTCTCCTGTAATGCAAGCAACTAATCAGTTTGACAGATGCATAAAGGCTTGTCCTTTGTTTTTCCCTTTAATTGTAATCACAGTCAAAGGATGAATTTAGTTCATGTTACTCAGTAGTACCATTCTCCCCAGCAAACTTCAACCTCTGGGTAATCCACGTGAAACTAATTCTTTTTGTGTTTCTCTGTGAAAGATAGGGTAGGAAAAATAACGTCCTGAGTCATTAATCAGATAGAAGTAATATTTGGATGGAATAGTTTAACCTCAAGGCCATGAAAGTGCAGGGGAAGAAGGTTGTACTGATGCTAACATAATATTGCAATCCTCATCAGAGATTGTGCTGTTACAATGTCTGCATTCTCGCCCAAAGTTACACAAGGAGGAATTTTACCTGTGTGTTATTTCTCTGTATTATTCCTCCGAAAGCAAGTCTAAAACTCTCCCATGACAACTATAAATTGATCATCTCGTTTCAAAGCAGAAGCATGCCGTTCTGGTCCTGGGCCCTGCTCCTTGTGTGTCAGTGCATCTTGTGACAACAGTGGGAACGTAATCCAAAGCAAGCTTTACAGTCCAGGGAGGGATGATGTCATGCCATTCATACAGATGCACGCATGTGGGTACCCTGCTTTGTCTGCCGTGCCACATATGGCATCAGGAGCAGTCCCAAAACTTGTTTCATATGGTCCAAGCGAGTTACCTAAGTGGAGAACTATAACGGTCATTATGATTGTAGTTAATGTATTGCTTGAAAATTTTTATCTCTGTCACAATTAAGTTCAACAGTGTGTCACAGCTAAATATTTTTATACGTGGGGGCCATGGGGAGTAAAAGGCAAAAGCCACAATTCAACATAGGAGGATCACACGCCCTCCCAGGAGCATCCATTCAGCACATTTATGGATGGTCCATTTCCAAAGCTACTTCCTCATTTGGCTTTCTGGCAGTTTTCAACTGTTACATTTTTAAGCCAGAAAGGACATATTGCTAGACTTTTGTTTTGATTTGATTGTGTGTGAGAAAAAACTGTGTCTAGATTCTTGGTGTTTAAACATTTGAAAATAGGTCTGGGAACATAGCAGGAATGTTTGGAGACTTCCCGGTCACACTTGAGTACAGATTTATACATACTGATAGAAAAGACAAAAGATACCAGATATGATATTCCTTGATATTTTGATATTTAAAAAACAAGTTTGTGAGTAATGATGGGAAAGGAGGACAGAGGCGTGGAGTTGAGGGGAGAATTGGTGAAGCTATAATGAAAAATAAGGGAGAGTACAGTCAGAAAAAAATTAGTTTGACTGGACTGGATGTTGTAATTCCTAATAGTTCAGTAAGCCCAGATGATTTAAATGACTCCGTACAGAAATAAAAGATGACCTTAGGCAAAGCACTCGTGCGGTTTCTTACCTGGACCACTTGTTGTATTACACAGAAAACGTCCCATCAGACAAAATAATATAAATCCCAAAACTACTACACTGATACCAATTATTACTCCTCTTTTGTTGGTTTTGCCTAGGAGAGAAAAAAAAAAAAAAAAAAAAAAAAAAAGGAAGAAAGAGATTTAAATGGCAATAATCTGTATAATCAGGTACTTTGCCTTCTCTTTATAGCAGTCGAGGTTCTTGTGGAGTAAGATCACTAAGCATTTGAAACACTTTTCAGACCGTGACAAAACCTTGATTTTCAAGGCAGTGAAAAGGCGAAGGAAAAAAGAAAAGGCCAAGTGAGTTTTAAAGTAAATTAAAAAAATAATAATCTAATTGCAGAATCAAATACTGTCCTTTAGTTTAAAGAAATAAGCGAGCAACAGTCACTCTCTGAGTGCATTTATTTGTGAGTATTTTAAACCAGCAGTTAAAATTGCAGCCTCTTAATTTCAAGTGGCTAGGTTCTAAAATACTAGTTTGAAAGGCTAAAAGTCCAGAAATGATTTTTGCACCTGTATGGTTAGCAGAAAAACTGCATTTCTCCTCAGATTTCATGAAAATTTCCTTCAAGGTATTTTCTTTCTGTTGGAATTGAACTGACTCTCCCACCTCTTTACTTTTCAGTCACATTATTTAAAAATAGCATATGTTGTAATTATTAGAACTGTGATGGGAAATGTGAATTCTTGATGCTCCATCAGCTCAGTACAGACTGTACTGCGCTGGATATGATGGAGTAGGCTTTCAGTCCTCTGTGAAGAGCTTGAAAGCTAATTGATGGCAAAAATTAGTGTAACTAGTAATCTTTTCTTTGCCTAAAGGCCCAATTTGGAACCGTAGGATAGAGAAGTGCCATGAATGCTCCATTGTTTTCCCAAGCATACTCAACTCGATAATAAACACAAAATGAGTAATTCCTTTGGAAGCATTTAAAAGAAACCACCTTTAGTCATAAGTTTCTGAACTTAGATAAGCTGATGTGCCACACATTTAAAATGTTATTTCTGTACTTAGGCTTTGTTGATCCTCGCTACCACCCTTTGTATTGTATTATTATTTGTTTTTCCATCTTTCACTAGTTCTCCGCACTGAGGAGTGCTAGAAATAAGGAAACTGGATGCTGCTGGATTGTATGTGATTACTGAAATAGTAGAAGTGCAATAAGAGTCAGCCAGTCTATAGATGAAGCGTGAGATAACTGATAAGACTTATGCCAGCGTTTTGCTTTAGGTGAGTTTTAGTCTATTCTAGGCCACCTATTAATTCATCCATCATTATATAGCATCCTGCTCAGTGTTTGTTTTCTAGAAAAAGGTTTGATTTCAGCATTAGAAGTTTATTGTAGAATCACAGAATGACTTGGGTTAGAAGGGACCTCGAAGATCATTTATTTCCAACCCCGCTAGTTAATCCACTTTAGTTAGACTTCAGCTAAGTACTTACCTTTATTGGTATCTTCTTCCTTACACGGTACAGGAGAAGTGTTGGTAGAACTATGCTTCAGGTCTTCTGTCTGCTGAATGATGTTGAGGTTTGATGTAGGACCATCCTGCGTCGTTGTGGGGGACGTCAGAGCAGTGCATGCAGGGAGCGAGGAGGGCATGGTGGAAGGGCCATCACTGGGGAGTGCTGCTGTCACATGGGTGCTCCCTGTCACTGCAGAGCTTCTCGGTGTCGCTGTGAATGGCACGCCAGCAGAAACAGAGGCAGCATCTTTGGTTGCTGTAGAGAAGTCACCCAGTGTTTTAAGTGTTGCTGAGGATATCGAGATTCTTTTCAGCTTTGGGGCAGAGCTGTTTTTTCCATCTTTTGATGCCATAATGAATGTTGAAGGTAATGTGCCATCAGTGGATCTCACAGGTGTGCTGACTGACTGTCTGCTCATCTCTCTTCTGTCTGTTACATTCTTATTGGCACTGGCAGTTGTTGCAGCTTGACTTACAGCAGAGGGAATTAAGGCAAGTAGAAAAAGGAACATGATTCTGCTGGATGGTTGAATGGTATTGCGTTCAAAAAATGTTTTGCTATATGGAGAATGTGCAAGAAATGATTTTATTTTGCAAAACAAAACTAATCAGTTAAGATCCAAATAAGCTTCTTTAGAAAAAGTGTTGGACTGTAGAACACTCAGTAGTTGACATGTTGATGCTGAAAACTTTACAGCAAGTGTTAATGACTTTAACAGTGAGTCAATAACTGCAAAAAAAAAAAAAAAAAAGGTTTCATGTTTCTATAAACAAGCTTCATACTAAGAGTGGAATAATCCCAAACCACTTTATATAAAGCTTTTATGATGCATAGTTGGATTGTGGATTTGAGGCCATGTTTACAGGCAAGGGTGGCTGTACTAAGAGTGTTCTAAAGAGTTATGCTCCATTGTGAAGACTTGTTATTGTTGCAGGTAGCCCTAAAAATGGGCCCATAAGGTTTTATGACTCTGAGCATGGATTATGGATGGTGCTGAATAGGTGAAACGGAAACTTCTAATACAGAACTAGAAGCTTCATATTAAGCATTAATTTTTCAAACACTGTATTGAAAACAGTGAAGAACAGTCATCGTGAAATACCTTGGTCATAGCAGATCCACAGTTCAGTATATCAGAGCAATGGGAGAGTTGCTGGTTTTGGGGCAGTAGTGTTTTTTTTTTTTTTCCCCAGGTTATATTCACTGGTATTTTAAGTATTTAAAACATGTATTTTTACATAATTGGAAAGAAATGTGATTGTGATATGCATTTTGTGAATACAGCTGAGCCTGTGGTAGATGTAGTGTCTGCAAAACTGCTGCATCTATTCAGAAAAACATTTGAATTTCTTATGGAAACATAAAATCTTCAGGACTATAAATTTTAAGGATCTTTCTTTGTATGTCATTCAACTGAACCTTGCACTTTTTACTTCCCTTATTATTGTGGCTAGAAAATGCTTTAATTTGTCTAATAAATTACATAGCTTACACAATTGACACAATAAATTTCTTAATTATTTGTTTCTAGATGTCTGGAGTAACATGTTCAGATTTGCAGAGGTTTCATATGTGCACTCGGCTTTTTAAGCTTTATCAAACCCTTCTATTTAAAAATCGATGGAACAAGCATAAAGCAAAGCCTAGAGTTTATCATCTCCTGATATTCAGAAAGAAGCAGTAGCAAATGGTGGTTCCAGAAATGTACTGGATGTTTTGTACAAGTGGCTGTTTGCTCTGAAGTTCAGATTGCCTTCCAAGGATTAGATGCTCCTGAATTTAATGAGCAGTGAAAATTGCATTTTCAAGCCTAATTTAGCTATTAAACTGAGAAAATAGTTTATAAGCTTTTAGTAAATTTGAAAAACAGTATGAACGTTGCATAGTATAAATGCACTAGCATTGCTTTCTAAATGTGTGTTGTCGTTACAATTAAACAGCACAGACTGTAACAGGGCAGCAGTACCTGTCGTCTCAGAAATTTGGTTTAAGTTGGCATACACCGAGTTTTTCACACCCAGCATTTAAAAGGGACTCTGAACTGACTCAGAGGTATGCTCCATATAGAATTTGGCTGCAGTAATACCTCGTAGCTTCCCAAATGCTGTAGAATAGAGCAGTTATTAATTAGACTCACTATTAACAAGCTTTAAAAATACCCCTCAGACTTACCTTGGAGCTCTACAAACCATTCAAGTGTTGGAATGGTGCTGTGACACAGAGTGCAGTCAGCCAGAGTGCAGTCACCAAAGTGCATGAGCCATGTGTGTGACAGTATCACACTTGCAAGGAATGCACAGTACAGGTGAACTGAGGTGGGGCATTGCTGAGCAACTCCCCTGTTGTTGTGATTGAGTTCTGTCATTACAGGGTTCCAGAAATTGCAGTGTTTATGGTAGGCAGTCCTTATTGCTTCATCCTTTGAACTTCTTTGAACCCTTTGTGAAGGATGGCTGGTTCTATAAGCTGTAGAGACTATTGTTCCGTGTGCAGTACAGCTGTTGATTTAACAAAAGCTGGCTTTCTGTTAGCACAGGTTTTCCAGTTCTATGCTTTGTGAGGTGAATCCTGAAAAAAAAAAAAACCACTCCTTACAATATAACACACAAAAAAAGGTTATGCTAAGAAAAGCATGCTGTTGAATATTATATAAAACAAGGACTAATGTGATGATCTAGCCAACCCGTGATTTTTTTATTGTTTTGTTCTCTGTGTGTATTTATTCTGGACTGGTATGGTATGTGGGGAGGAGTGACTCAGAAGTGTTTGAGTGGGAATGCCGTGGCTCTGTTATCTGCATCCACTTCAGATATTTCAAGAATCAAATGCACATGCTGTTTCATAACTTGTCATCAAGAGAAATGTTGAGTATATGGTATATAAAGAAGATATTCTTATGGGACAACTAGAGGCGTTGCCATGATATGCTGCAGGGAACAAGCAGAAGGATTCCTGTGAATGGTTCTATCCTTTTTATTGCTCCTTTTGGTGTTTGAGGCGGTGGTCCATAAAAGGAAGGAGGACAGAGCCTGATATTGTGGGTTTGGTTTTCTTTGAATCCTGGCATTCTCGTAAAGGAGATTTTCTGCAGTGTGTATCAGCAGACATCCATCTCACATTTATTGCTGTGTCTGGGTGGGCACACATCTAACAGATTGCTCAGGAGATCTGAAAACAAACACCACTAATTTGTGTCCAAATTTGTATCAGATGCAGCATTAACTAAGTGACAAGGAGTTACTATACTAACTTTAACACTGTGCTTTTCACTAACACGTGTTATGGTTCTGATACTGAAGTGTATATATATAAATAGTTCCATGCTATATGAAAATAGCAAGACCTTAAAAAGGCTGCAGTTCTGTTCCAGAGTAATTGTTGCAATTGTGTGAAAGTCAGTGCTGCCCTCAACTTCAGCGCTGGTCTTGTTAGGGGTCACTCATTTGTTAACAGTTCAATTCACCTGCTATTGAAAGCAAAATCTGTTTGCCTGGGTGATGTAAAGCCTAATGAGAAGGTGCTGTGTGTCTCAGTTCTTGGCTCAGTGTCATACACTTGCGTTGCAGTGCCAGGATGCTGGCCCTCTGTTCCTGGAAGGCAAAGTCTCCAGCAGTGAGCGCAGGTGTTAGCAGATGCAGAGCTGTGGCCATATGGAGACAAGGTGTCTGAGTACTCCAGGCAAGGAAGAAAAACATGTTGTTCACCTGTAACCTGTGTGCATTAAGCAGCAGTTTCAATTCTGAAGAGTGTGCTGTAGTAGTCAGTGCTGTAACGAGGTTGTAGGACTGCTTTTATTGCATAGCTTTGCTGCAAAGGAGTCCTAATGAATAAAAAAGTGATGGAGTTTTCAGAAGGTTCTAGCTGTTGCCCAAGCTCTTCAGAGAGGCAGTGGAGAAGGTCCCCTAACTCCTGACAGAAATACCTCTTTGCAGTGACCTTTTAGGAAAATGAGCGCACCACTCATGTTGATGCAGTGCCTCTTTCACAGCGTTTGGAAGTGGTGTGTTCACAGAGCACTCTTGGGTTTTCTGGGCATTGTTCTATTTCTCTACTGTCTGATTTCCATTCATAGTGTTCAACAGCAGCCATTTTTCTTTTGCTCTTTTTGGCAATGAAAAGCTTTTTCTGTCCCTCTTTCCTGTCCCTCTTAAGCATCAAACATTGTCCTCTGTGGAAAGCAAGTACCTCAGGGCTCCAGTTCAGTACGAGCAGCATCCATCAGCGTAAGGAAAGTAAACATAGGGTAATCTGTGAGAGAGAATCTCATGAACAGAAGGGTTAGGCAGAAAGTCTGCCCTATCAAAGCCATGTTAGATCATGAGCATTCCTGATGTTTAGTTTAGTCATCTACTATATGCCTTGTTTTTCTACAGAAGTGACTGAGCGTCTTCAGAGGGGAGATCAGGGTAAGAGATGAGTCAGGGAGAAGTGCCTAGCAACTGGGAGCTGGAAGGGCTCAATGGCAAGGAGAGCAGGAAAGTAAAGGCAAACCAGGAAGGATGCAGGCTTTCCACAGAAATGGCCAGTTGCTTGGTTTCCATTTCACTGACTTGGGAATTTATGTCAGTGGGACTTAAAATTCATTATTTTACTTGTTGTAAATGGGCTTCTTCTTTAACTTCTATGCCTTTGAATGTAACTAAATGAGCAACTTGATTTGTGCCATTGCAAACTGTCAGTAGTTTACAGGTTGGTTCGTAACTGTTTCCATGACCAGAGGGGTGAGGGGACCCACAGACTCATGCTCCAGGAAAGGGAAAAAGGGAAAAAAGAGTAGAGATGGGCCTTAAAGCAAAACATTGGCAACAATCTGAGGAGAAACAAATTGATTTACTAAATAAGATATGGGAATCCAAGATAACACAGTATAATGCAGTATGATACAATACAATTGGAGTTGGAGATAATAAATGAAAGTGTTCAAAAGCCAAAGGCCTCTCTCTAATGCTGTGATGAGATGGCACCCGCAGCAGAGATGAGCTGGGTGACCAAAAAGGGGAGGGGAGGTGATCCAAACATATCAGTTTTGGCATAAGTCTAATGGATATGTGGAGAATGCTTTCTAGAATAGGCTGGCATAGAGGAACATCCGATGCTATTTTAAAGGATGTGTTGTGTATCTCCTATCTGTTTAAGAATGGGGAAAATTGTTTAATTTCTGTATAGCACCTAAGTCCTCAGAGTGTGCATGTTGGGAAAGTATTTTTCTTGCAGAGCTGTGCAAGAAAAGTGTTGTAACGTTTCTAAGTCTCATACTGCATTGGCTTTAACAGCCCTTCCACTGATAATGAGAAAAAAAGGTTATTTTTCCTTTAGGTTATTCAAGTACAAACTATACTTATATTTAAATAGGAGAGTTGTGTACTTTTGTTGTTACAAGCACTCAAAACTTAAATGAAATTGGTGGAAAAGACAAGAACCATGCTTGGAGGGATGTAAGAGCACACTATCACAAGTAATATTCAGGAACAAGTTTCTTTTATTCAGATATCCCTCACTGCCAGGTAGTTGTGTGGGGTAAACTTCTAACTGCTAGTCATTCAGTTTAAAATAACGCGTGGATAAATCATATCTGCAACTATATGTACATATATGTCACTACATTTAGAGGAGTAGTAAAAAAGAAGGAATGTAGAACCATAGGTAGTAGGCTGCCTAAAAGGAAGCAAGTTTTCTCATTCCGTGTTTAAGATCACTGTTTTCTGGGGAAAAGTTGGGCAAAGCCTCATTCTGTAAGGCTCTCATCCAAACCAGGTGTTTGTCCTTTATAGCTCTTGTTCTGTGGAGTAGAATGGGCAACCTCCATGGCAAACTGCAGTGTTTGGAAAACTTAGTTATTCATTGGTTGTAATTATTTTGTTAGGACCTACCACAAACATAAAATTAGGTGAAGGCTATGATTATGATCTTGCACACAGATAAAAAAAATTATTTAAAGACATATCTTAGTAGTGAAGATAATCCAGTAAGAACTGGTGTAACTGAGTGAAGCATCGCTGGTCTTGTTCAAATGGGATTAGAATCTTGTTCTGCCTTTACGGGTACCATTGTGTATATATGCTTTTTTCTTCAGAGAAAAAAACATATAATATATTTGAACCATATAATATATTAAACCATATTACATATATATATATATAATATATTTGAACAAAAATTCAAAGCAAATTAATTTAGGAGGGGTGATGGTGTTTGATATTAACAGGTACCTGTTTGTACCGATACAGCAGAAAGCACAATAAAAAGTTTTAGATGAATGTCATAAAACAGAGCTCCCGTTTTGACTGTATTTATCATGAATTTATTTACAGTTTTCACGTTCCATGGACTGTCGGGCAGAAAATGTCTAAGGAAAGTTATCATGTTTCAATATGTTGATTCTCCTGAGTTCTGCATGGTGTTCTTTCTTTCTTTTGCCATAACTAAATGTAGTTGATGATTTCCACAGCTACAGTCTTTCTAGAATTTTGGAAAAGGCGGAGAGCTGTATTAACCTATGACTGGGACCTCATAGATTGGGAAGATGAAGAGGTAAGATGAAGCAGAAGTAAATCTTTAAATGTTGCAGTCAGCCCTATTCAAGTGTAGATGGGAAAACATAATGCCAGCCATCTGAATTTGCCATTCACATTGTGTTTGCGGTTCATACACTAGTTGTGGAACAAATCCCAGTGTCTTTCTACATTTGTTGAAAGCACCCTTTGAAAAATTTAGTGGATTTTTTTTTTTTTGTTCCGGTTTACAAAGGGTTCTTTAATAGAAATAAAGCGCACAAGCTGTAATAGCCTTAGTAAAGTGATGGATCTTTTCAAAGAGAGTGCAAGTTTAAGCGTTGGTCCACTCTTGGCAAGCCAAGCCAGTTCAGGGCTTCAAGTTTTGGGGCTTGATTGCTGCCTATAATTGACAGTAAAATATATAATATATTCAATATATACTGGGAAAGAGTGGAAGTGTATTGATGTTTTTCCTTTCTACAAGACGTGTTTGTGAAGAGTGTCATAATGGGGCTCTGGATGAGCAGACAGCTCGATTTAGCCACCCAGCTAGGCAAAGATGCCATTACTAGCAGTGAACAAAAACTAAAACTCCAGGGAGTGAAATAATATACATACAGAGGAGCAAGAGCTACCACCAGTGCCAGCACAAATCCCTAATCCTTGGAAGTTCTTAATCCTGTCTAGAAGCAGAAGGAGTGCAAGCAAAGGGTCAGAGAGTGGATTTTAAATCCTTCTGAGAGCAATAACTCACTCTCTGACATTCTGCTATCAGCTTCAGCAATGATCAAGTGATTTTCTTACTTTACTCCATAAATCATAGTGACTATAGCTCTAATGTAACCTAACTATACTGTTTATTCACACGCAGTGTAATTCAGTAGAGACTTTATCATAATGTGCTTTATAGCTTTCCATAGCCTTGTAGGTACAAACTAGTAGCTTTTAATAAGTGCTTTCATATCAGAAAAAGCACCATCATGACTGGCATTGATTTATAGTATTCTTATCAATTTCTGTAGAGAAACTGGTGTTTAAACAGCATTGTGTCCTTTCCATACCCTCACAGACTGGGGAAGGCTCGAAACTTCTCTCTTCTTCATCGATCTCTGGCACCTTTTCAAAGGATTTTCAAAAGAGAAAAAATTGCTTGAAGTGGAACATTATTTAAAAAAAAAAAAAAGTTTTATGTCAGGAATTTTTTTTATATCACATTCTGCCTGATTTTTTTGATAGTTCAGTGAAATAGTACACCAAATGAGATCTCTCCTCTTATTCCAGGAAGAACTGCGTCCCCAGTTTGAAGCTAAATATTCTCAAGTTGAAAGAGTAAATCCCATCACAGGAAAACCTGAACCTTTTCAGCCTTTTCCTGACAAGCTCAGTCGACTGATGGTGTCTGTCTCAGGAATATTCTTCATGGTGAGGTTTAATAATAGTGCAATTAGAGCCTTTAGTCTTATCCAGATGTAGATACTGAACTAAGTCATTAATGAGTTCGTTATCTATGTACATGATGTAGACTATGCTACATACACAATGACTTACATAATGTAGGTAAAACAATCAGTTCGATATTATTGCTTGTTTAGGGATCTCTTTGTTTTAAAAGATGTGATACTGTTGCCATGTAGAAGTACAAGAAGGAAATATTTTAATTTAGCCATTTAACATTTTGATTCTCTCAAAATTTGCTCCCAAGACAGATGGGCCTCTTTAAAACTCCTGCTAATTTATTGATGCAGTGGAAAATATTCCCAGTATGGTTTTCCTTGTTCTAATTTCTCTCCTCATAAACCTGTAGATTTCACTCGTCCTCACTGCAGTTTTTGCAGTCGTGGTGTATCGTCTGGTAGCCATGGAACAGTTTGCTTCCTTCAAGTGGTATTTCATCAAGAAGTATTGGCAGTTTGCAACATCTGGCACTGGAGTCTGCATCAATTTTATGATCATCATGTCGCTCAATGTTGTAAGTCTTCACCTAATGGGGAGATTTATTTAAAAGAGCAATTTATACAAGGTTACTCAGTTTACTGGGTATCAGATATGTATGCTAGTATTTCAGGGATTTTTTTCCTCTTTTAATATTGTGTTTATCAATGTTTTCCTCTACTGCCTATTTTATTTGTCACTAGACATCTTAGATTGTGTCACCAGTCACTGTAGTACAGAGTACTGCTTTTGACATTTGCCTTTTAATTTTTCATGTACCTTTTACAAAAAGCCAGTTCAGTTCTCCAAATACAACTACATGGTTTTCTTGAAACAAAATTTCATTTTCCTTTTCTGTTTTGTGGTTGTTGCTTTATTTTATTTTATTTTTTTAATTGATGACTTCAATCAATGAATTGATTCTTAATTAAAATGCAACTTTGATACCATTGTTGCTCAGACCTGGAAGGACTGTGATTTACAGTTCATGTCTGAGTTTTCCCTTTCAAATAATAGCACAGGTTTCATCATTTGCTATGGTAGCATGATGTACGTTGGCATAAACTCTATAGATGCAATAGCATGCATCATTTTTCTTTTCCTCTTCAGACGTGAATAGGTAGGAAGGAGCAATAAGTCAGCAAACAGTGTCTTTTATTTCTTTTAAGGACACTGTGGACTTATTGCAATAAGAATGCAGTCTTTAACATGAGCTGTTGTGTATTTATTTCTGTTACTACATATTATGAATGAGTCAGTTCAAGTTAAAAAGCACACCAAAATTATGGACAAAGCTATGGATATTGTCCTGTGTTCTCTGCCCTTATCACTTGGTGCTGCAGGGCAACAAAACACCGATGCCTTCGATGTTTTCTTGATTCTGCATTAGACATCATAACAGACAAGATATACTGTACCTACATCATCTGTTCTTTATGTTTTAGGTGTATGAAAAGGTTGCCTATCTCCTGACAGACTTAGGTATGTACGTCTTTACTGATGTGGTCCTTGCTACTGATGACATGTACGTTCCTGTTTCCATAAAACAGGTGCATACACAGTAAGATGCTGGCATTTCCCTAAGTGAATTAGCATTATCAGCAAAAGAAATGTTATATGATTTCATTAAAGAAATAATACAAAAGAAAGAAGCTTATTATGGAATCACAGAATGGCTTGGGTTGGAGAGGACCCCAAGAATCACCAAGTTCCAACACCACTGCCACCAGCCTTCAGATTATAGTTTTACTTTTCCATGTTCCTGTAGTATAGAAGGAAAACGTTAGAAGAAAAGTCAAAACATACTCTTTCTTAAAATGCAAAAGCATATATTTTTTCAATTCTTCCCAAATGCTGTTGTTTGCATGTTTGATTTATTTATTATTATTTTTTATTTAATTGGAACTTTGTTGTGGAAAAATTGGTTGAGATCACATTTTCTAAGATAAAAACGTTATGTCAAATTTTAAAGCAGCTCTAATTCCTGTGCATTACAAAGTTATGCTAAAGCTCCTCTTTGTTATTCAGTCAAGCAGGTGAAGCTTTTTAATTCTTAGAAAGCAAATTCTAACAGCAGTTAGGACCTTCTATGTGAACGTATTATCGTTCAGTGTTTCTTGTTACATGCTGTCTTTTCAGCCCCTGTGAAAATACGCATTTGATCTTGACAGCAAACTCACTGCTTAAATTTAACAGCTCCCCCCTGTGGTTAAAATATTGAAGAGCATCAATTATATAACAAGCTCATAATTTCATCAGATTGTATGTAACAATCTGATTGTATGCAGGCAAGTTAGAAAGAATCAAAATGCATAATCAACTTATTCAAGTTAACAAAACACCTGAAAGTATTGTTTTGGTTTTTTTTTCAGACCTTGCTTTTTTATCTGCTTACCTGAACTTTTAAAATGTATTAAATTATTAAAGACAAAGGGAATGGGAAAGAAAATCATAATTTTGTTTTTATATATGACCTGATTTTTTTTTTTCAGAGTATATTAAAAAATTACTTTAATTCCATTTCAAGAAAGCTTTCTTGAATTAAGTATGATGGAACATCAGGTGCATGAGAGAAGTAGCTCTTCCTAAAATTTTCTGCTTCTAAGAGCAAGAAGCCATCCTAACTTTTGAGAACCAACAGCATCCACTCAAAGCTAGTGCACCCTAAATTTATATACTGATTTACTTCGAAGTAGACTGTATCTTTATAGGTCAGCCATAGAGTACAGATTACAACTTAAAAATCAATGCTGTTTAGATTTCTGAATCTTCATGTACTTTGAAATGTTAGTGAACACTATGTTACAAATTTGGTACATTGATCAAAGAAACAAAATTTTTATAAAGAAAGGTAATTTTCATCATTTTCACCTATTTCTAATTCAGAAGTCAATCATTCTGCAAATGATAAGGAAAAAAATCCGAATCGATGTAGGCCCACATAGAATACTTGTAATCCTAATATACATTTCTGCATTTCCTTCCAAAGAAAACACAGAAGGAACTCCCTTGTTTTCTCATTGCGTTATGAATTGTCTGACTCTTCAGAAGTGTTATGACGGAGGAAGTGGGAAGGATGGAATAGTGGTCTTACAGAAGTGTTTAGAGAGTGAGGTGTTTGAGTGAGAAACCAACTGACTGTTGGTTGTCTCTTCTCCCCTGCTTTCCTTGGGAGCACTGTGGCTTGAAACCATCTCTAGTTTTTCAGTTGATCTCTGAGGGGTTGACATAACTTCGTTTTTGTTTATATAATGTGCACTGTGTCTTTCATAGAGCATCCAAGGACAGAGTCTGAATGGGAAAACAGCTTTGCCTTGAAAATGTTCCTCTTCCAGTTCGTCAACCTTAACAGTTCTATTTTTTACATTGCCTTTTTTCTTGGCAGGTAAGTTATCTTTCCTAACTCACAAAGAACCCATAATCCTTGGTAACTGTACAGCTTCCAGGAAAATACATTGACAGTTTGAACCGTAAGTGCAACAGTTTGAGGATAACTAATAGCACAAAATGTGTGTTTGTAACTGTGTGCAAGGGTTGGACTCCTGAAATCTCAGAAACTAGACAGGCTACTTTTTAAGTGGGTCTATGTACTTACCAAAACAAGAATTCACGACTTTTGAAAATACAGACACGTTCTCTATGTACATCTGTATTCAGCCTTGCACTGATACACTTTATTTTTTTTCCTCACTTATTCCCCTTGGGTTGTATTTCCCAGGGCACATTTCTATAAATTTATAATGCAATTTAATTTCAAGATTGTTTGAAAGAAAAAAAAAGTGAAATTGTTGGTAATGCCTGAATGGCATGTCCAGCAATGCCTTTCTCATACAGTTTCTAAACCTCTTTGTGTCTTGCTATGTCTTGTGTCTGGTGGAATCAGGAATGTTTTTTTTTTTCCTTTCTCATCTGTAATTTTCATTGAGGTCACCAAGAATTTTGATTTATTTCATTACACAAGAATCTGTTAGATCTCTTTGGAGAGTTTTGTTGTAATGGGCCTGAAAGCTCTTTCATGCTTCTTTGTCTGTGGGTGCCATCCAGTGCACGTTTCACTCAGGCAAGCAAATCTCTGTGCTACGGTAAACTCCTACATATTGCAACAGCTTATCTTCTTAAAAACAGATTAGAGAGTTTGAGTATCTAACATCTAAAACCTCTGTAGCTAGGATTTTTGTCCTGGTCATAATAGAAGCTTAGGATTTCTTGCAAAATGATGGTCTCTTTCCTTGTTTGCATTCTGAAACCCCCATATCCTACAGATACCAGATTTAAGCCTGTGTGATTTAGTGTTTATATTTCATGAGTTTGCTCAGTGGATGTTGTGAAATAATTACTGCTACAGCACGGTCTTGGAATGTCCACTAAGCAGAAATCTTGTTTTCCAGATTTGCAGGCCGCCCGGGAAAGTACAACAAGCTTTTCAACAGATGGAGATTGGAAGAAGTAAGCAATCCTGTTTTACGTTCCTGAGAAATTCCCATGAGTAAAAGGGAAACAACTGTAGGACATGAATTACATCCAGTTTGAAAGATCTACTATTCCATCTAAGTGCAGTGAAGAACAAACTCTTACTTATAACGAGGATAGTGTTATTTACCTTATGTATTTCAGTATTTTCCATTGACCTTGTGAACAAACAATTCTCTGACTTCAGCTACTGATCTTCTGTTTCATTTCAGTGTCATCCAAGTGGCTGCTTGATAGACCTGTGTTTGCAGATGGGTGTTATTATGGTTTTGAAACAAATGTGGAACAACTTTATGGAGCTAGGCTATCCGTAAGTACTGCTGTTAGTATTTGTTTTACAGATAGCCGTTGCAAATTAGTGTTACTTGAGCAACAGGGGAAAATACTTTTCATACGAGTGGAGAGTAATATACCACCTTTAGCTGATATTTTTTCTATGATCATCACTAATTGATGAAACTTGTGGGCAGCTGCATTGCTGATCTCTAAAAGTATGTTTTCAGAAGAAGGTAAAGTGAGATTCTTCAGCAAGTTCACATTGGCATGTTTTGCATTATCCCTCAAAATAGCATTAGTATTAATTTTTAGCCCTCCCTGAAGAGTGACAGGGAATTATTACTACTGTTTACATAGTTTTGTGATCATATTTTGCAAAAATATCTATTTCAAGAACATGACATGCTTGGAGAATGTTTGCTTTTTCCATCTCACCACTGCAAATTCACACCAAAGGGAAGCAGTAACCATGCCCTGAAGTTTCCCAAGGTCCATTAACCAGCCAAATTGTTTATTTTGAGTTTATTTTCCATAGTACAAACAGAGCTGTTCAAGTACTGAAGAGTGTGATGGGTCCAAGAGTCTTACAGTTCTTCTGAAGCTGAACGAATTTGTTTTCAGTAAGAGGTTGCTCATCAGAGATTAATTTAATCAGTCTTAACCTTGATAATGTCAGAAAAGTTTACACTCACAGCATGCAGTCAGTCTGCAATTCAGCCACTGCTTTGCTAGGAGAAGCAAATTTCTGAAAAGCAGCAGCCTTGAAGTATCAGGCTTCCTGCCTTCACAAGGCAGCACTGCTTTAACTCTGCCTGGAATTTCTTTTAGAACGTGCATGCTCCTTTATGGAAAGCAGTGTTTTGTTTTGACAAAGCTGTGGTTTGTAATTGTGGCCTTCCAGTAGGAAGAGCTAAGCGCTAAGTTAGTTGGAGAGAAAAAATAGCAGCCTGTTGATAAAAACACTTAGAGAAGTTATTTCCCATCTTTGGTTCTTTCTTTCAGTAATATCTAGAAATAAATGATAGACTTTAATTGCCACTTATGTCTATACTAGGTAATATTTTTTCCTTTTATAGCACTTTCATGCGTGAAGGTATTACTTCAGATGTATAGCTACTTTGTGAAAGGACCTTTGCAAACCTTCACAGAAAATAATCTTAAATATTTACAGCTCAAGGAGCATTTTTTTAGACGTGACTTGCTTAAAGAGGAAAATATTCCATAGGGCATCTGATTCTTTAAGTTTGTTCAAAAAAATAGTAGGCGTTTTCTGCTATTCAGTATATCCTAACGCTCCTAGTAAGCTCTACTTATTTGACTTGTCTCTTAGAGGATTAAAAATACAGCATTCTTTGCTTAATGCTTTCAGTGTGCATGATTTTTTTTTCCTGTGATTTTTGAGTTAGTGATGCAGGTAAATCCTTAAAATAAAAAACTAAAAAGTCAATGCAAGCCCATTCCATTTTCTGTAAGGTTTATTACAATACCTGACGTGCTGTGTTGAATACATAATTAAAACTATAATGTTAAGTTTAAAACTTCTTAAATTTCTTGGAAGTCTCTTTAACAATATTGTAAATATTTCCATGTAACACCTCAGAAAACACTCCGATGCCATTCAAAACAACAGCTAGAATTGCAAACTACAGCAAGGGACAGACAAGAACACTTCATTTGTCTAATACAGGTTATTACAGAATTGGTGGTCACGACGCAAAATGAAAAGAAGAGGACAGTCAATGGAGCATAAAATTTCTCTACCTCAGTGGGAGAAAGATTGGAATCTGCAGCCGATGAACCTCCATGGTTTAATGGATGAATACTTGGAGATGGGTAAGCAGATTTATAGAGATGTCAGCTTATTTTTAAAAAATAAATTGCTTTAAAATATGCTTTTGCATGTCTAATTTCTAATCACAGAAATGCTTATCTAGTGTTACAGTTTGGCTTTACCACCATCTTTGTTGCTGCCTTTCCACTGGCACCTCTCCTGGCATTGCTGAACAATATCATAGAAATAAGGCTAGATGCATATAAGTTTGTGACTCAGTGGCGAAGACCGATGCCTGCAAGAGCAACAGATATAGGTGAGAGAACCTGATATCTATCGTTGTAAGGTATGATCCCTCTGTGTCATCTTCTTTGATGGAACTTGCCCTTTGCAATATTTCAGTATGTCAAAAGTGAAATTGATGGGTAGCCTGCAGATATCAGGGATGTCTTCTCAGCAGCGTGGGCTGTACTGTAATAATTTTTCAGGTGGAGCCTGTAGTGGTGGGAGTGTGAGGACGTGACTTTACCTTGGCTAGCTTTTCTGAGTCAGTAAATCTTTCTCAAGAGGAAAGAAAAAGATTGTGACTAGTAATGACTTTAATATCATTAGTATGACTTTTTGTGATAGTTAAAAACCACTGACTTCATCATTTCTTTTGTTTCTAGGTATCTGGTATGGGATTCTTGAAGGAATTGGAGTACTGGCTGTCATCACCAATGCCTTTGTTATTGCCATCACTTCTGATTACATTCCACGTTTTGTCTATGCGTATAAATATGGTCCCTGTACAGATCAAGGATACAGACAAGAAAAGTAATGAAAATTTTTTAAAATTTATTTATACATGCTTATTTCAGGGGAAGTAAACTCTTCCTACTGTCTGTGTCAACGTATTTGAGCGGTAACATTTTGTCTTTTACATCTGTGCAAACCTTGTCAGGTGTTTCACACAAAACAGCCATTCCATCATTACTTCCCTTCTAAACGCATACGAGAAATGCAAAAAAATGTGGAAGTTGTAGGCTCTTCCTAGTTGAGTTGTTCCTCTTTTCTGTGAAGATTTTGGTCTTTGTTGTTCCATTAGGAGAGGGAACTAAGCCATTTTCCTGCTTATCTCTTTACTATTACTGCAGCTGTGATGGTGCAAGCTAAACTTAACTTCTTCATTTCCCAAGATGAAGGAGCACAGAGAAAGCATCAAGACAAAAAAAAAACCCAACAATAAAACAGCAAGGCAGTTCAGAGATGTTCACAAACTGGTCACGCAGTGAATTGCCTTCACCTGTGCTCCCAGGGCTGACTCAGTGCTTGTCTCAGGTGATCAATCAGAGGTTCAGGCTGTGATTCAACAGTTCCCATACAACAAGGAATCCTTTTTGTCTCTCTAGCCATCTTTCTTAGTGCAGTGGGTGTGAAAGGCAACAGTGAAGTAGGAAATTAGTTTGCTTTGCAACTGCTGATAGATGATCCAGGAGGAAAAAAAAATAGAAATAAAAAGAGCACTTTGCTCAAAATAGATTTATAAATCATGTTTATTATCTTAGAAGCATAAGTTACTGCATTCTTTCCAATAACACTTTGCTTCTCTGCTTAGTATTTTACAATTGCTTTTGTCCTAATAAACAAACAAAACATTATCCTCACAACATGTGATAGCACACAGCTTTATACTTTATATCCACTTTAGGAAGAGTTCTGACCCCACGTCTTTGCTTTCCAGATGTCTAAAAGGATATGTCAATAGCAGCTTATCAGTGTTTGATCTGAGTGAACTTGGAATGGGATATTCAGGATACTGCCGGTACGTTTTGATATTCCCTCTGCTTGTGATATATGGACATCAAATAGGCATTAAAAGGAAAGTCAGTGATTAAGTTAATGGCAGAGTAGTTTCACTTTTGAAAAGTAAAAGTATCTGAGTTCAACTTTGTTCAACGTGGAAATCTCAGGTGTGAAAAGTGTGTTGTAGGATGCAATACTAAGCCAATAGAAACCCATGTTATATTCTTAGTTTCTTTGGGATTACTGTAAGCCACGTGTTACTGGCCTCTGTGAATTATTTCTTGTGGGTGGTTCTACAGCTGTAAATATGGCAGAAAATTCTCATTTCATTTTTGCTCAGCATTCTGAGGTCTATTATTTAAAATATGCAATTAAATGTTTGTTGTGGCTTTAATCTAGCCCAGATTTCCAAATGTTATGCAAGATAAATAGGAGAAATTGAGCACAAAACTTAAACCCGACTTTGCATTAAGTGCACCGTTTCTTGTTTTGGCTTTAGTTTTATAGTGAAAATTACCTTAGACCAAGTTATACAATCCTGTTACCTTTATGCAGGCCTTGTCATCAGAATCTCAACTTCTTATAAGCAAGGATGAGAACCAATTTAGAGTCAACACACTTGAATGTAATAGTCCAAGATGCTAGCTGTGTAACAACAAAAGAAAATGTTTGTTCTGTCTTTTTGAAAGCAAAACATTACCATCTTAAAAGCATCTATATTTAATATTTATATTGTGGGCTATGATTTTTCATTGAATTCCTCTTGAAATATGCTTTCAGGTCAAATTCTCTCCTTTTAACCAGCTCTGGGATAAGTTTGAGAGCTTTTCACCATGTCCAGTTTTTTGAGCATGGACTAATTTACAGTTCATTTTTGCGTTACAGCTACAGAGATTACAGAGCCCCTCCCTGGAGTTCAACTCCCTATGAATTCACTTTGCAGTTCTGGCACGTTCTGGCAGCACGACTGGCCTTCATTATTGTTTTTGAGGTTAGTTATGGAATGCAACAATTCTCTTCTACCTTTTTAGAGTTTAAGTGATTTTTTTTTTATAATAGTCTCTTAAAGAGAGTGTCATTGTTATTAGATGTTTATTCAGTATAGTACTCGAGAGAAAAAAAAAACACTCCCCTCAAAATGTTTTCAATCAGCTACTTCCAACAGAATTGATAGGACAAGCACAGCTTCTGGAGTGCCCCCCGAAATCATATTTTTTTAGCAATCATCTTATAAATCTTGATGGTTCGCAACTAAACATTATTAGAAGTTGTCAGTAGTGTGTGTCAGGAAAAATACGCATGATGGCATCCTGATACAACACTGGAAATGAGTACTAACTTTGACTGAGGTACTGTCTGGGGAACTGGTTGCTTACTTTGATAACCAGCTCTTAACAAAGACTAATGGCAGATCCTGCAGTTGTGTATGAATTCTGGTCACTAGCTGTATCTTTAGTTTCATTTTTCATAAGACTTCAGCAATTCCAATAGATGGTTCATTTATACCCATATATATGTGCACATACGTAGATCACTTCAGAAGCAATGCCTTCTATTTATTTCCATGGAAATGTCAGCAGGTGCAGTGAGCACAATAACACTAATTGATAGAGCAAATCCATAGCTACGACATACTCTTTTTCAATATGGTCACCACCATTAGAGATGCATTTTCACCAGCGATGAACAAGAGCTTTTATGCCATGCTCATCAAATGTGCACCAGTGGAGGTGACCACTATTGCTGTCATCACTGCTGAAACACACCGCACACCACCTCACTGTGCTCACCCCCGCTGTTTGGTCTCCATAAACATTCAGCAAGCATCTTATGGATGTCAGTGGTTGCTATTTTTTCCACATGGAGGAACTCAGTGGCACACTTTTGCTTCATACTTACTTCCACGTCAGACACCAGTTCTATCAGACAGCCCCTCTGCTGCTATCTACCATACGGCAGCAAAATGTAAGCAGGTATTGATGGGAAAGTTCAACCTCCACTGCCATGCCAATGACATCCACCTCTGATTCTGTGGGCCAGCGTAACTACATAGAAGGCATTATTATCAGAGCAGGCCTTGTATATCTAAATAGAGATTAAAAAAGAAGGATCATTTTTCAGTCACAAGTCACATTGCAGTTCCAAATTTGCCATTCACTTTGAGGCCCCAGCGTTTGATCCTAGGAATGAGTATTTATGCATGTGTGAAGCCATTGTTTTTGTTCTTCTTTTCAGCACCTTGTTTTCGGAATAAAGTCTTTCATTGCTTACCTGATTCCAGACATGCCCAAAGACTTGTGTGACAGAATGAGGAGAGAGAAGTACTTAGTCCAGGAAATGATGTACGAGGCTGAACTAGAGCATTTGCAGAGAGAAAGAAAGAAGAATGGGAAACAGTATCACCATGAATGGCCTTAGTCAATACCATGCTGCAACAAAAACGCTGTTTGGAAACTGAAGAGTGCGATTTCGAAACGAAGTCAGTCTTGCATCAGTGTGTGCAATTCAAAGTGTATATATATGTTCTTATTGGGCTGTGCAGTTGCAGGCTTTGGCAGGAAGTGGAAAACAGGTGCTTCCGATGAGGAACATGAAGAGCCTTATCTGTGACTGGTCTGTGAGGTGAGCGTCCAGAACTGGCACTCAGGAATGGGCAGCAGATTAAAAATTTGGACACTGATTTTAAAATGGCAATGAGCTTTTATGCTGTTCGTGAAGATGCTAGCAGCATAACGAAAATAAAAAATTACCTATAAACTTGTACGGTGAGGGCATGACTAAAAAGAAATTACATGATATCCACTACAGCTTCTGATTGCTCAGCCGCATCTGTAACGCCTCTGAAGAAAAAAACGATTGTTGCCTTTGTGGCCATAACTTGATATAAACAATCTTTCAGGCTTATTGTTTTGTCAGGTTTGTCCTCGTCTCTTGTTGAGATTGTGGATGTGGTCCTACCCTAAAAAGTGGGTATATGGCTGCTTATTATATACTATGCAGTTTAAGATTTGCACATCATTGTCATTAATCTATCCTTCCAGTCAAAAACCAAAAATTCTAAATTCAAAGAGAAAACAGCAGCACTAAAACACACTGCATTGCCCACATTGCAGCTGCAGTTGAAAATGACATGGCTATGAGTTGTCTTTCCACTTTTTTTGTGCAGAAAGGCCACCTTCACATGGATGGAAGAATTGTCATTTCCATGCTCTGCTGCATGCAGATGTCTAACTGTGTTACTGTTCTCTTTGACCTGTCTGAGCAATTATTCCGTGACTTCACAGAATGCTAACTTGAAATATTCTAATACAGTGCAAATTACTTCATTCTGAATATACAGTTAACTATTTATAATATGCAAGCTTATGCAGATATGTATCAGACATCCAGTATAGCATTTTGACTTGCTTGTTCAGGGAAGGAGAATCTGAGCACCTTATAACAATGCTCTTCTTATTGTAACAGTAAATGTTCCAGTAATGTGCACTTCTTTTATGGGGCTAAATAAGTCAGAGTATGGGAATTAGATACAGCCTGATGTGTATACAGATTGTCTATAAAAGCACACACACACAGTGGTTACTTTTAGATTTTCTATTATCAATTGTACGTCTTCTTACAGTCTGGGGAGCTCATTGTATAAAAAATAGACACTCATGTAAAGAACCAAATTTCAGGTTTTTTTGTGAATACAGTGTAAGGTAGTGCTGCTTATGCTTGTAGTCACATTTTGTTGATGGAGTTGCTATTAACATTTCATAATGTGTGAGAAGATAAGCACTTCATTTGAAAAATCTAAACAAGCGAGCAGAGTTCACTTGCAGTGTAGAGAGTGGGGAAACAAGAGTCGCAGTCATCCCGTTCGTCTTGTACAATTTCAAGCAATGCTTAAATATTGAATGAGAAGAAAAAAAAAAACAAGGGAAAAAAAAAACCAACAGAACGACCAAATTATACTGACATTATACATTTGTGTTATTTTAGAGATAAAGCTGCAGCGAAATCACTGCTGTCAGATACAAAAAGACCTGAAATTTTACTTGATAAATGCCATGTTGAATCAGTAAGTGTCATTCCAGTATTTACTTACGTATGTTAGAACAATAATTTTATTATTATTATTATTATTATTACACTGTATAAAATGAATTTTAAGAGCCCATCAAATAGATGAGTAGAATCCATTGTATCCAGTGAACTTTAGCATCAATGTTTAATTTCTGTACTCATTTCACTATATTTGTCTTGGTTAATTCCAGCTTAATGTGACCTGGCAAGGCAACTATAGAAGTATCTACAGTATTGCACTAAGGGGGAAGGAAATTGAAAGGTGTGGCTTAATCAGATGTATTAGCAGTTAGTTCTTTGATAATGGGCTGTCGGAACTCAGCTTTCCGTATTTTGGAAAGGCTGGTAATTATATTTTGGATAGTTCCTCAGGAGTCCTTATCAGAAATATCAGCACTCTCCTGAGTACTTACAGCTTCACACTATTTAATTTAATTTATTCTCTCCCTGTTTCATACTGTGGAATATCAAGCACCACTTGACAGCATTAACCATGTGTCACAGGTTCTGTTTCTGTGCCACGTAGCGATAATACTTCAGTTCTTCAGAAGGTCACAGTTCAGCTCTCTTTTTCAAGTTTTCCCTAACAGCAAAATGCCTTGGCTGGCCCAAGGTGAGAAGATTTCGAAGAGAAATCAGCAACAGTCAGAACTGGTGATTATTTTGTGCTTTCTCGTTTCTGCTGTGGATATTGGCACAAGTCAAAACAGGCAAATTCCAACTGAACTTAAAAGTGCATTTGAAAGAAAACCTCTTTTGTATTTGAGTATGATCTGGGATTTAAATATTTATAATCTTAATATTTCAGTACTGGTGTATAAAAGTAGACTGAAGGAAAGTATGTAGATCTGACTTTGCAGTTTATGCACTGGAAAAAGCACAAGAAATTTTGGAGAAACACTGTGTGTTCCTTTATGTCTGAAGGACATGAACAAAGCGTAAAGGTTTTGCCACTAATAGCCATTTGCTTAAGCTGAGAACTTTTTGCTAGACTTTGTTTAGTATGCTGTTTGCATTGACTGCACGTTCTTTTACAGAAGTACAAGGCACACACTGTCCTCAGGAATACTGTATTTTATGAATGCTGACTGATCTTTTCATATTCTAGGTATTGTCTTTCCAAACCAATGACCAGTACGAATAGACCGTGCATGCAAGCTGCGTTTGTGAAACCTGACAAAGCTTTAGAACTTAAATTTGTGCAAAAACGCTTTAGGTCATTGCTGATCTAATCTATGATAATTTTCCTCTATGCATGCGCCCTTACAGAGACTGCACGAGCAACTAGATATTCTTAAATACAAACGATTAGTCCAAAATGTCTTAATTATTGCTAACCAAATTCAGTGTCTTGATGCAGACGAAAGAAATTTCCATTTCAGAAATTGAAAAGTTGACACACATTATACATATTTCTAGTTATTTTTAACTCCAAATTTGTGCCCACTGTGTGAGATCTGAATTCTGGTGAGTGAAAAAAGGGGGGGAGGGGGTGGAGAAGGGGGGGAAGCATGGAAATGAAATGGATCCGAAGAATTCTGTTTCATTAGCCTTCCTAATGAGAAGTTCCCTCGTGGAGCTCAGCACCTCTGTCTATAGAAGGAGATGCATTGAGCGCTCAGTATTTACAGCTGAGTGCCCTCAGGGTTGCCTGCAGATTGAGCAAAAGCTCTCTATTTGTTATGCTGTAATTTAATTTCTTACAGTGGTGATTGGGCATCCTGATTGGAGTCTTTTGAGACAAGGCAGGTCACGTGATTTTCTTCCCAACCTCCTTTTTATTGAAACATTTATAGAGAAAATTTAGATGAATACTTAAGTTAATATTGATGATGATGATGAGGCTTAAATTTCCATAGTGCTGTTGGATGACAAATGGTTTGAGTTTTTTTTCACATATTTCTTCAGAAGTATACATCTTCATTCCTACAAAGCAGAAATATGCCTCTTACTGTGCCCTTTTCTGATAGCAGTTTGACTTATATCATGTCTTCAGGATTGCTTAGGCTCTGTTTTATTCCAAAGAACACTCAAAAAAAAATGTTTGGAGTTAGGTGAATAAATACATACCTTAATGCGTAAATTCATTAATTTCCTGAGGTCTTCTTCATGAAGGAAAGTATCTTGGGGAACAAAGCTTTAGAGTGAGTGTTAATACAGGGAAAGGCATAAACTCGTGATATTTTTTTCTTACTGAATCATTAGGATGATCTGTGTGCATCTGTGGTTTCCTTATTTTGGCCTCTTCTGCAAACTCCAAATGCGAGTGCTTCCAGAGAGAATGACTGGAGCCATGCAGTTCAGTGAATTCCTTGCATGGTATCATGTGGGATTTATTCATCTTGGAGCTGTGTCACCAATTTTCAGAGGCAAATTCGTATGCCTGTGTTCAGAAGCATGAAATCACTTCGATTAACTGAAAATGATCCTTGTCTATAAAAAGAAAAAAAAAATAGCTCTCCTTAGATAGCTTACATGTAAGACCAATTCTCATTAGTACTGTCGTAAACTAGATTTTTGTAAGTACACCGAGTAATGTATTCTTGTAAACAGTTGTATACGAAGTTGTATACAGTTGTATACGAAGGCAGTGAAGTTAATGGAAATCAATCACATTTTCCATTTGGCATTACGTAGGAGAAAAGAGACAGATCCAAAAGCAATTATCAGTGTATGTGTGATCACTTAAAATTGCATAGTATTTCCAGATGCATTTTATTTTTCACAATCCTCGTAAGCTACTGATGTTGATTTTGGGGGGTTAAAGCTTGAAGCAAATCTGTAACCAGCCATTCGTAACAATGTGTATTTTATGTTACAGCTGACACTAGAATTCAGAGATCCACATTTAGGCAGATTTCGGAGAGAGATGAAGTAAGTTATTTTGTCAGTTCTAATGCATAGTTTGACTGAAGCGTAACCAGTAAGCGTTTTTCCAAGCATTTAAGTGAGTTGCAAACGTGAATTCCTGTGGCAGGAAAGGCAGTGGCTTTCAAAGACCTCTTTACCTTTCTGTGTTCAAGCTCACGCTCATTAAAGCCCACCTCCTGCTGCAGTAAAATGGAATAAACCAGCATTTCGAGGCTGGAGATGAGCAGAGAAGGCAAAGCTCATGTGTTCCTTTTAGCAAGTTTAGCTGCAGAGTCCCTTATCGAGTCTCCAAAATGAAGGGTTGAAACTGGAGCACGGTGAGAACCCCTGCGATCCTTTTCCTTTTCTCCTCTGGTTCATTCTTTACTTATCCATAGTGTTTTATTAAGTGATGCCTTTTTGCTGATGGTCCAATTTCAAGAGCAGTTGCCTGACCTAAAGTACTTAAAGCACTAAAAGAAGCCAAACAGAAGTGTTCCCAAACCAGTCTGTCCAGTGCTTGTTGCCAGCTGGTATGCTTGCGACGGAGTGGTGTGAGGAAGCACACCGTGTGTCTGGTCTGCTGTGACATCTGTCACTGTCCCAAGGACTACCTTTTGCGCTCCTGTCCCTCCCTACACACACACATGTCCTGAAGGTCCTACCCAATCTTGGCATTTTGAAATTTGTATGAATAGGCTCACATTGACAGTTTTTCTCCAATTCTGACATTACAGCTGCGTTCACTATACATTGACACTGACATCATTTTGACATGGTCGTGATAGCACAACGTTACCACAACAGCACAAATTTATAACAGCACAACAAAGAACCATAGAGAAATCCCTTTGCTCTTCCATGTTATGCAGGAACTTTCTTAGTTCAGGACTGGGATTTTGACTTGAAAAGTTAATGGAATATCCCCTCCTCACTCGCACTGGAAATTACCTTTTGTTAGTTCCTTTGGCTCATTCTAACTTCTTGCCATAAGCTCTGTAACACTAGATGTTCCCTGCAGTGTGCTCCTTACTTGCCATGAACTAGTTGTTGGGATGCTACTAGATGAGAAATGAGGATTAAACCCAATGCAGCCTAAAGCTAGTGAGATTTTAAGCACTGAGAAGTTGAGAATTTTTCAGTTAAAAATTTCAAAAAATTCAAATCACCTTTTTATTTAATGTTCTAATGTTTAGAAGGCTCAGAATTTTGTATTGAAAAAAAATCTACAAAACTGTTGATTCTAATTTTTACCTAGAGTAGTATCGCTGAAATTGCAGTTGTTTGAAATAATCTCATGTAAAATCTACATAATGTTGTTCAGCCATTTTTACTTCAATAGTCCTGGCTAACTTGCAATATCATGATCATAAGAGATTTCTTATAATGTGTATATACTTGAAATTTATGTAATATTTAAATACAACTTGGTTTCTAATTAAGAAATGAGAGTACAGTTTCAACTATTTTTTCTATTCATAATTCCAAACTTTGTAAGTAACATTTAAAATAGGGTTACCACCAAGTGTTTCAGAGAAATTAACTTTTATGCACTGCAAGCTAGAAGTTCCTCTGGCCTGTCAGCTTTCACTTTCTTTTGGGTTTAAGGTTACTCTTACAAGCCGGTGTTTACCCCAGAACTAAAAGAATTCACTGAGGAGAAGTTGTTGATATGATTACCTATTGTAAGACACTTTTGGCATAAATTTGTCTTTGAGATGCTGTTTACTTTATCAAGGTTTACATGTACAAATGCGATGACTTACTGTATCATACACATTTGAATATTGCATTTTTCAATAATAAACTTGGATATATTTGAAGGAATCTCTCAGTGTCGTAATTCCAGATACTCAAAGTTATGAAAAATACACTGGTGAGTATTCATGTGCCTGCAAACCATAGTATGTAAGGAAGTAAAGGATGGGTTAAACTTGTCTCAGGCAGTTGAACATTTAATACTTCCTGTGGTCTCAGGGCATATATAGACTCATTCACTCATGATCCAGTGCTCTCACTCATTATTAATTTCTTACATTTAAGCTCCTGTTTTAAATTGACAGTTTTCTAGTTTCTTAATCTCACTTTTTTTTTTCCACTCTCATGCACAGGCTAGCTCTTCTCCAGAAAGATGTGTGGCTTGGGACTTAAAGCAAACAAGAAGATTAGACAGCTTTAATCAACACTGAATATTTAACCAGAATGGTAATTTTTTTCTGATTTCCAATTTAGCCTTAAGTCTTGGTAGAATACTCATTAATGAACTGATTAACAGTTTTAACCATCTTACATAAGGCCGTGTTGGGCTTGGGTAGAACCCTTTGGAACGTCTGACACCAAATACACATGGGCTCAGTGGACAGCTGTAGTTGAAACAAACCCGGTGCAGAAATATACTTCAGAAGATAGTAAGTCAGTAGCAAATATAATGGTAAACTGTTCTTAAGGGTGTGAAGAGAACCACAAACTGGACAACCTCTGGCATGTAGAATGTAAGAATACTGCAGTGAGTGGATACTTCAAGAAATATTGAATAGTTTTCACAGTCAGATGTCTCTTTTTAAGATATCATCCCATTACTGGTAGAGAAGTTTTGAGGTTTTCTCATTCACCATCTATCTATGTAGTTTGATGCTGGTGTTTTGGTCCAATTTCACTCCTGAATTGTTGACTGGTTATGTTGAGAGCCAAAATGAAATACAAATGCCTGTGTTTTCTAAGTTTCCATTCCTGCCTTGCTAACCGTATCAAGGTTGGATGCACAAACAAGAAAGCTGTCACATGAGACGATAGGCTGCCAGCTAGATTTAGCTGTAAGCTTTTACGAGATTATAAAAGTGGTGTAAAAGGGATTAACGCAAATATTGACTTAACTCTCAGTCTGTTGACAAAGTGTCTCCCACAGGCAAGACCATGTCACTTACAGACTTATTTTGTCTTCTAATTGAGTAATCAGGGACTGTTCCCAGAGGTTGGGCATGAACACAGATGGGGGAAGTAACTTGGAGGTCCACTTTGACCTAAATCTACATCATAAAGACAGGGTCACTGATTAGCAGAAGCAAGATCTGGGACAAAGTGCTGGCTGGATCCATAATATTTTCAATCAGACTGTTTCATTTAATTCAAAAACTACATCCAAGAGTTTATCATGGGAAGAGGTGATCTGTTGAGTCTGACTAACAGGCAGGATATAGAGGGAAATGCATTTCACTGTTACAGAGCCCTTAGCACATTTGGGTAAATTCTTCCAAAACATTCTAGCACGGAAATTATTTCACCTCATGATGTGCTTTATTCAAAATTCTCATGGATTTTCAATTAGGAGGCATTATAAAATGGCAATTTATTTATTGCTTACAGCTAGTAAATGGATTTTGCAGCTTAAAAACAAAAACAAATAAAAAGATATACAAACATTCAACCAAACAAAAAGGCTGAAGATAATCTTTTCAAGCTAAAAGGATGTCTTTCAAAGACTAATTATGGATAAAGAACTATCCTGAATTTTTGTAAAATTTGTTACCCTCTCCTATTGCTTGGAATAAGACATTACAAAGACTTCTTATTTCCACAGAGGAAGCAAGCACAATAAACTCAGTCAATAGAAGACCAGTCTGGTCTATACAGTGTTTCTGTGCAGAGGCTTTCTGTGATGCCTAAGAATGGGCACAGACCTCCTCCTCTCCCTTGGCCTCCCTCTGCAGTGGAGAGAGCATGACCTCCATCAGAGGGCAGTTCACAGTCTCACCTTAGTGAGAGACCCCGGAAGCTTATCTGAAGTGTTGCTTTATCTCAAGTTCACCTTTGCACTTTACCATTCAATGACTAGTTACTGAACAGAGAATGATGTATAGACGTATTGCAGCTACTTCCTAGTAGTTTCCATGACAAGATTCATGAAACATTTCTTCTGAAATAGCAGAGCTTCCACAAAGAACATTGTGTTACAATTTCCCAGTTCTGTCATGAAATTCATAAATAAAAATCCTGCCTTTATTGCTATAGAGAGCAGTTCTTTCTTGGTCATCTAGAAGGTGGTAAATGTGATACAAAGAGCTCTTCATTTCTGAAGATGGAGTAAAGTTTGATTAAATATCCCATTCCTCAGCTTCTAGAGACGAGATTCTTTGCTCATATTTGTATAGGATTTTTCCTCAGGATTGTAACCAGGCAACTGGCTTGTGTTTTCTTTGCTGACTTTGTTCTTGAGGGTGTCTTCTGTTCCAGCTGTATCTGCGATAACTTCAGGCAGATTTTTTTCAAAATCTTCCTGAAAAATAGAAAGAAAATACCCCAGTAGTTTCAAAGGGCACGCACTGCTTTTGTAATTGCTTAAAGAGGGAAATTTTGACACACTGTCCTACAAATCTGAGGAATTGCTTCGCTACAGCAATGACTGCTAGACTTTCAAAAATGCTCTGTTTAGTGTGTCACCGCTACACAGACAGTCATTGATTTTCTCATTCCTGCATGGAAAGTCTTTAATAAAAGCAGCAACAACAACTTCTCACAACTCCTCTGTTGATGCACAAGTCTTTAATTATGTTCTTTGTGAGTCTCTAATTACTAAAATTCGGTGTTTCACAAGCATATTCTTTTTACGTTTTAGTGGATTTTCTTTTTTGTCCAGCCTACTCTTGCCTCAGTGGTTTCATGCTGCAACCACTTCATTAATCTTACTGTTCTGTATTTTTAGCACATGCAAGGGACAGTTGTTTGTTTTCACTGCCTTTATTAATGTGGGCATCATTTTTCTTCAGAAAGTCCCTGCTAAACACCTAAAGCCAAGTCAGACAGCTGAAGTAAATCTAGAGCCACAGGTGCTGCCCGAATTGAACCATCAGGGGGGAGTGGCTTTAAACTGAGACTCGGGAGGTTTAGGTCAGATATTAGGAAGAAGTTTTTCACACAGAGGGTGGTGACACAGTGGAGCAGGTTGTCTAAGGAGGCTGTGGATGCCGCATTGCTGGAGACATTCAAGGTAAGGCTGGATGTGGCTCTGGGCAGCCTGGTTTGCTGGTTGGAGACCCTGCACATAGCAGGAGGGTTGAAACTGGATGAGCACTGTGGTCCTTTTCAACCCAGGCCATTCTATGATCGCATGAAGAGTGAAACCTCTGTGGCAAGTCAGGTGGGGAGGGATAGCTTCTGCCTTATCGCTGAGATCCTTGCAGGCTAAAGTTTATTTTAACGATGTAAAGGTGCTTGCCGACGACTCTAAAGCAGCTGAAAACATGCAATTAGCTTTATCTCACCCCTCTCAATCCTGCAGACTTTGCTAAGAAGGAGCAGTGCCTCTGCAAGCCATTAAGAAAATGGGATCTCATGTTTAACAAAAGGCGAGGCCTCGGGACACCTGTGGAGGGGTCTTTTGTTCTGCTGCAGCTGTGAGGAATCGCCGCTCAGCGCAGATCCGCCATCTTTGGAGTCTGGGAAGGCAACAGAAGGGCTCCACAGACACCAGTGCCTGGCAGCAGATGAGCAAACTGCACGCTGGCTGTCAAGGGCCTGACTGCCTACAGGGAGGTCTGAGACAGGCTGCAGGGGGAAATGAGTAACCTACTGCTGGTTAGGACACCCTGGCATGACCGTGTTAGCAGGTTGTATCTGGATCCTACTCACGTCCTGGCTGTTGTGCCGCACACCACACCACATCAGTGTCTTGAGCCTGTCCGACCAGAAGCAAAAGAAGTTGCAGACTGGCTTAATTAGCACTGGGCGGATGTCCTCTCCTTTGGTAGGCCCTGGAAGGAGGAGAGAGTGGTCAGTAGTAGGTATGGCTGTGGAAAGATGGCTGTGAGATGTGAGACCCCAACCCACTCTCCCCTCAGCCCGGGCCTTGTGAGCAGCTCTTCAGCAGCTGAGCTGCTCGTGCATAAAAGTGCTTTGTTCTTACTGAACACCAACCTGTTACAAAGCTGATGAGCAGCCCTGAGATGATGCAGCCCAGGCAGCCGATGGTACTGAAGTAGAGGTAGGACAGGGAGTACCAGGTGTCTGCCAGCAGAGGCCTGAGGAGATGTGATACGAGAGAGAGAAAGCAGCTCATGATGGCTGCTGCCAACAGGGATGCCTGAGCTAGACTGAAGTCACAGCGGTAGGGAAATACCTGTTGGCAGCCGTGATGGGAGCTGCTGTGGTCGGCAGGGCAGTGCTGTTTGCCAGTGTGCAGTTGAGAGTCGACAGCTCCAAGGGAATGGTCTTTACGGGCTGTGCAGGATAGATGAAGGAGCCAATGCCAACCCAGGCAGCCAAGGTGATTCCAGTGAGGAAGCCGCTGATTCCACCCTGGTCAGGGAGAGCAAGATACGCTCAGAGGTGGTGTGGGGGAAGCGCATTTCTGCTAACGTTATGGTCAGCTGGGTTCTTTCTTGGCTGAGGTGAAGCACTGTTCTCTAACAAGAGCTGCAGCCAGTTTGAAACTGAAATCACAGAATTGAAAGTTATACTGCTGAACAAAGGCAATGGGGCAGAGTGAGGTAAGCTTGGGTTACGCTTTACCCAAGTCAGCAAAGATGGAGCAATTGATCTTGTTCTGTGCTCCCTAGAGTGGGTATGAATTGAGGAGATGGCAAGGGAAGCATGTTATGTTAATGTTTTATCCTTTTTTGAAAGACAAGAAATTGAAATCTAAAAGAGAAACAAATTGAAAACTTCCAATGTTGATCTAATCACTAATTACCCCACAGTTGGGTAGAGATAAATTCAGACTGAAAAAAAGGCTTTCTGAACAGTTCTTGGGCTCCGCCACCTCTGACAGCCAGTTTGGACCCTAAAACAATTTGAAGGTGGGGTTTTAACTGAACAGCTCCAAGAGGTTGTCTCTTTTATAATAAGGATCTTTTGTTTCTTACCTTCCAGTTAACACAAGGAAAGATTATTCCCAGAGTAAATAATCCCAGCATGGGCCCTCCAAATATTCCATGAATGGAGAGGGCAGCCTGTGGATGCAGAGAAGAGATGTGAGCCAACAAAGCGACTAGGGGAGCCTGAGCAATTCTGATTCCGGTCTGATTTTCAGTAGTGGAGAAAGGACAAACAGTAATTTCAGTGCACAGTGAAAGGACTGCAATCAGTGTCACTTCCCAGCAGTAAGTAGTGAAAGCGATTTCTTTTTTATGATTGGTGTTTTTTTTTTTTTTTTTTTTTTTTTTGACTGAGTTCTCTTAGCACATGAGGAATTAATATGAGATGGTCCTTAGGAGTTGTTCAGATTGGCTAACAGTCCCCCAGTGTTATCGGTTCAGTTCATTGCATTTCAATCTATTCATGTTTGGATCATTGCCTTTTTGAAGTGCTAGATACCTGCACAACTCCTCCCATCAGTGATGCTGCTCCAGCCATGGATGTGCACAAAACACCGTATAATATACCTGGAAAAAATCAGATTGTCAGTGCCAGCTAATAAATAAGACAAACAGTTTCTAATTGAGCTAGTGTCAGAAAGGACCAGCTTGAAGGAATTTGCAGTTTGGGTTTTGATGCGTGAAGCACTCAGTGCTTTTTTGTGTGAAGTCTTTGGGGTTTTTTGTTCTTATGAAGTTGAATTTAGCACTGATATTAATTTAAAAGTCTCAAGTGCTTCAGTTCCTGTTGTCTTTGAATAATGTTTTTTAAGTGATCTCATGAATGAAATGAACAATGATGCAAACGAAGGCTTTCTTCATTTAATGCTAGTTTTAACCTTGTGGCGGGCAACTCTGTCATAGCATTCATCAACAAAACTTATCTAATGAGCTAGCACACCTTGGTTATTGGATGTAAAACATGGTCTGCTTTGGGCGTGAGTAGAAAGGCTAGGTAGTAAGTGGCAAAGCTGGAACTGAAAATGTTGGAGGTGATGACAGAGACAGAGGGAAGGGCTGGTTTTGATCTTAATAAATGTCAATGAAGGGTTATGATAATATTAAAATACTTGTAGAAGAGTTAAGGCAATACTGCGGTACCTGTAAAACGTATCATACAAATGCAAACCGCTTGTGACTTGGTTTTGACAAGTTGTCCTGGTTTTGTTTGCTACATCTTTATTGTCTGCTGAAAAACTGAACAAGCTTTTTTTTTTTTATGATTCTCTAAGTTTAAACAGAAATGTCATATTGTGCTGCTGTAAAGCAATAATATTTGGTAATATTACTGTAAACCAATGTAGCAATAACTACATTGATACATTTCAGTTTCCAAAGCAGTTTCCAAAGTATTACCAGTACCTTCAAAACAGAAGAATGCATGCACCTTCTCAAAAAGCTTTTGGGCGGTTGTTTTTGCTGCCAGCGTTGATTTGTTTCTGTACCATATATCAAGTGCACTTAATTGTACTGAAGATGGTCATCCTTTAAAAGCAGTTATGCTGCTGGGGGGGTTTTGGAAGCAGAAGTGCATATTTGAAGCAGTGCCTGAAGCAGCTGTTGCCCTTCACGCACACAACTGCTCTCAGACTGAATTTGGAATACAGTTTCATTGTGTCCTACTTGAAATAATATGCAGATTTCTGCAAGTATTGTAGCAATTGTACTTGGAGGACAAGAGCACAATTCTATAGATACTGTATATGCTTAATGGTGAAATTCCTGAGTTCACATTGCCAAGGCAATACCACAGCTCAATGATCTGATTGTTTGAATGTTAGTAGACCACACTGGCACAGTAAAAATGGTTAGTAGAAGTGAGCTAATTCAGCTTAATTCTAGTTACTTAGCTGAGGCGCTAAGTTAAAAGCTTTGTCTCTGTTGGCTTATTCTGAGGTTAAGAGAGGAGTCAGGAGGAGGTCATCTTTTGTAGGGATGCAGCAGCTCTGTAGAGTAGTAGTTCTGTAGAGAACTGCCTCTGAAGTCTACCTTTCTCTACAGAGCAAGTATCGCCTAAGGCAGAGAAGTTCCTTTCCAGAGTGTATAAAATCCTGCCCTATTCTTTTTTGTACTAATAGTGGTTGAGAGGGGCAGACAACTTTGCCTCTAAACAAATGGATTCTACTTTGGCTACTTACACAAGCCTTTGCTGATCCACGTGCTCGTTTTCTCAGACAGGCCTGGGAAACATTTCCTGACCAAGTCTTCAAAGGTAACAGTTGCTAAAGCATTGATGCTAGCTGCCACCGTGCTGTAGAAGAGGAAAAAAAGAATACTGAGTAAATACTAAGCTGAAAGTAAGCTGTTTTTATAGAGAAATGCTGCCTATTGTTCATTGTTAAATACTGTTCGAGAACTGTGAATTTCATAATACGTTACAAATGCAAAGAGTGTCACTGTGGATATGGGAATTTAAGTAGCAAGGGGGATAATTTTCTTATGATAGCAAGGGTTAAATAATAACATTTTAGGTTTGGCGTAGGTTTCTGCAGAGACTAATTCACTCCTAAACTGTAAGCAGTTCTCTTGAATCTGACTATGTATACTGCAGATGCTGGTGAGGGTTCTGTCCTTCCTGTGATTGCTTGGGATCCTGCTTCATGCAGTGAGATGGAAACTCGTCCCAACTGACTATTCTGTTTACTCAACTACAGAGATCTTAAAATTTAGTGATTATGTTATATCCTAAATAATAGTTATTCTCATCTACTGGAGGGGAAAATCCATAGATTTACAGTCTAATGTTATGTGTTCCCTCATAAGTGAAAAACATGAAATGGAAATGGTTTTTGATTCTTGTAACTAGATGAGTTTGTCTCTGTGGCCTTGTTGTGACAGCACGCAGGAAATGTAGCTTCAATTGCATTATTTGCATTAGTTGGCATTCAGTGCCCTTTGTTGTGTAACCCTCTGGCTAGGAGCAGGCAGTTGGTTATATGCTTTTTTTTTTTTCCTGTTTTGGTAACTCTCTTCCTGTAATATTTTCAACACATGAAGCATTTTGAAACAGAATATCAGAGTTTGACTCTATGGCATTGATGCATGTCGCTGTGAATTTGAATCTTCTCTCTAATGTCCCATGAAGTATTGATGCGTGGCCTGTGGAAAGTGCAAACTGCAGTCGCATGCAAATCCCTGAGTGACTCAAACTTCTCCAGGTAGACATCTCTCTTCCTATGCTAACTGTAAAGACAGGCTTGGTAGAAAACTCTCCGTTCCTACCTATGATATGATATGGCAGTCAGGTAAAATAAACGCGCCTTCAGTGTGAAGAGCTACGAAGTTATTTCAGCTAGCTGATCACTCGTGTTTCTACAAAGATAAGCATGTAATTTTGCCAGTACATTATTTTTATTCTATAACTTATTGAAGATGAAAAGATATTGGAGACATGGAACTAGATTTTAGTTCCAACAACTTGGCAAAGTACTATTGCTTTTTCTAGAATGTGCTAAGGAAAAAAAGCTGTGTATTCATTAGGATTCCTTGTTTTTAGCCTTGTTCTGGGCCCTCAAGAAATCAGTGGCATGCAGTTAAAATGTTATTTCAGATTCGCAGACCTTAATGTTCCGCTGAACGCACAGGCAACAAATAGTCCTGGGATTCCTGGCATTGAAGAAAAAATGTCCATAACAAAATATGGCATGAGCTGGGGTAGAAGACAAAGGAGGAAAAACACAAGAAATGAGTTAGGATTTTCCTGAGTAAGAGAGAAGTACCTGCTTTTGGTCACACTGCTGAGCTTTTATTTTCCAGCCAACAAGGCATATTAGATTTTGAGAAAAGCAGATTTCGTTTAGCAAAACAGCAATCAGATTTGTACTGCAGGAGTGTAAAAATAGGTGTGTGCCAGCCTGATTCAGCAGTCACCTCATTGCCTGCAGAGCTGCAAGGATAAAGCATCCCACAGGACTTAAAATAGACTTTATTCATGCAATGTCTCGGCCCAATGCACCTCCAAGCTGTAATAATCTGCATCTGTACCTGATCAGGAGCTGAAATGAAGTCAGCAGTCCAAGGATCACAATTCTTGTAATGAGCGTACATCACCAAACCAGAGAATACTGCACACACCAGGATTATCCAAAGTCCCAGTAAATTCAGGTAAAGTGCCCTGTAGCAAAAGGGGGAATTCTGATTAACGCAAGAAAATTTGTAATAGTTTTTCTATATTTAATTATTCCTGATTTCTTTTTGAGAGATTCTTTGACCAAGCCTAGCTGTATAATCTCTTAAACATCTCCCCATCCTCAGAATATGTCACACGTATTCAAAAATAATAACAGTGAAAAATACAGCCTTCTTATGCTATAGGGCGAGGATAAAGGTTACACTTTGTACAGCTGAAGGGAATGATGTAAAACCAGTAACTGCTGTGTGCAGAATAGACTGCAAGAAGAGCTGGTGGGGTCCTTCCTCTTGCCTACAAGGGCAGGGTTTTGTTCGTCAGGAGTTACTGCTGTTCTCCACTCAAGGAGATGTAATGCTTTGCCTAAGTATTAGTTTGCAACCACGACAGAATCCATGCATTGCTGCCATGCAGAGTTGTGGTTTCATGTCAGTAAAATAGACGTGGGTGGCAGCACCCACTGGGAAGGTTGTGTGTGATTCAGTAATCCTTCAGTCCCAGTGAGCTGCCAGATTTTATACAGCCTACATCACCTCCCACAAGTTCTCTGGCTAAGGCAGAGCTATGCTGCTGGCACTCAGAGGTCTTTCTAGACATTTTACTAGTGATATTCTTGTTGTCATGACTTCCAAACGAAGTTTGGAAACTAAAATTTGAAACTAAATTTGAATAAAGGAAATTCCTATAATCTATCATAGCCTTAAGAAAAATGAGTGTGATTGCAGCCAGAAAAAAAAAAAAAAAAAAAAAAGCTTATTTCTTTCTTTTGCTAACTGTGCAAGCAGTTAGTATTAGAAGAAGTTGGGTTGTTCACTAGAATGTGTATCTAACTATGCACACGCTCACGCTGAACTTCGGGAAGTTAGCAGTCTGGAGACCTGTGTCTGTATTGTAAAGTTTCATAATTGATTCTACAATTGTCCTATTTTTTTAATGTTTTATAATTTTAATAAATATTTGTGATCACATGTCATTTAGATGATGCCCTGCACTATAGTGTACTCCATTAATGGAATAACAACTTTCAGTGAAATATATCATATACCAAATTCCAGAAATAATGTTTTTTTTGTAGAAAGCTGGAGATAGTACTGCTTCTGTGCAGGCATCTTATCCAGTCTGCTTTTAAAGATTGATTTGGCACCCTGACTGCAGATTAACAAGCTGTGCAAGAGTTAGATAGCCAAGGGGAAATGGTTTTAAGTTGAGGGAGGGAAGATTTAGATTGGATGTCAGGAGGAAATTCTTTACAGAGAGAGTGGTGAGGTGCTGGAACAGCTGCCCAGAGAGGTTGTTGATGCCCCATCCTTGGCGGTGTTCAAGGCCAGGTTGGAAGAGGCCCTGGGCAGCCTGGTCTGGTATTAAAATGTGGAGGTTCGTGGTCCTGCATGTGGCAGGGGGTTGGAGATTCATGATCCTTGAGGTCCCTTCCAACCCTGGCCATTCTGTGATTCTGTGTGTTTTTCTTTCTTCAAATATTTAGGTCCCTTAGGGCCAGAGGGAATAAGACTGTCAGGACAAAATTGGTTAACAGCCACCCAATAACATCCCAATATTTATTTAATGCAACTGACAAACTGTTGGCATAATTCCATGTCAGTATATTGCATTGCTGGAATAGGCTAAGGACAGGTAACTTACATCTTTGCATGCTTCTCTGTTTTGCAAGAAATGCATCTCTGTATTGTGGACTGATTAACTCCATAGAGTCCTAGCCACGTAAATGTTCCCCCAATAACAATTGTCCAAAAGGTGTGTCGTCTTAAAGGATCCACATCAAAGCTACGAAAGAGAAGGATAAGCAGTTCAGTTCCCTTTTTAAAATACAGTTTCATTTAAGAGTAGGTTGGTGAATTTTCAAGAATATATTCAGTTCTATCCTCTGAATCAAAATGCCTCGTTGACGTAGGTTTGGGGTTATTTGTTTTTAACTTTACATGGGAATGCTTCTGTCAAGTCAGGATAAACTCAAGTCATGTAGAAAAATAAGTGGAAATAAATCACATCGTTTGTGCTCAAATTTCAGATCTGTCACGTTATATACCAACTGACTCAAAGCCATCTTGCTTGAAACCCAATTCTTAGCAAGGAACAAACCCACACAGTAAATATTGAAAATTCTCAAAGCTCTTACATCATTTTGATGTATTATTTCTTTTGCAAGGTATTGCTTCAGCTGCAGTGCTATCTTTTTGTTTCTTTTTTTTGTAACAGTGAAATGTCATAACTCAGCAACTCTAACTACTGCAAGTACGCCTTTCCATCTTACATCTGGCTCTTCTGCAGTTCTGCTAATCTTAATATGGATGACAGATAATATTTGACCTTGCTGCTAGTTACTGCCAGTGACTTGGCTTGATCGTTGAATTCTAGTCAACGCCACCAATAACTAAAGATCGTCAGTTTGCTGTCCTGGTGCTTCGTTTCCTCATTGCTAACTGCTGTGGTGAGTGTATTTAAAATGAAGTGCTTGTTCTATGAACTGAAAATGAAAGATATGTGCAATTTGAAGGAAAATTGAGTACATTTGCAGTTAAACAAAGAAAAAATGGCAAAGAGTATTAGGACTTGGGTTTCTTCAAAGCAGGAAATGGAAGGCAGAGTACTTCTCTCCTTGGAGGTCGACTGCAAAGAAACCAAAGAAATAAAGACCAGGCTTCTCTAAGGTAGTTCACTGGCAGTATCTCATTGTACTATGGTAGTGTATTTTGGGCTTAGTCTGAGGATGGTTTCTAAATGCTAAGTGTACAAGAAGAAAAGGTTTGTGCCATTAATTTCTTACTCAAATATGTTCAGTCGTGATCCTTCATAGGCATCTTCCCAGATCCTGGTTGACCCACCATTCAGAATAGTTCCTCGAATCAAAACAGTCATGAAGCCAAGCACCATGATCACCATTTGAAATGCATCTGCCCAGACAACAGCTTTTAATCCTCCCTAAAACAAACAAATTGAATGACAAGAAAGACAATGAAAGTTCACAAAGACAACAGGAGGTGGAAGTAGCACTTATTTTAAGATCGTATTTTATGGCTGTATGTATAGCATCCAGCAGATCAGGTCTTTTCTCGAATCTCCTTTATATCCACACTTTCTAAGATTGTGATCTTGCAGACAAGCTCAATGGCTCGTCCACAGCCATATGAGAAGATCTGATGTCAAGTTACATGGTTTTTTTTTCCTACTTTCTTAATATTCATCTAAAGAATATCTCTCTGTTGAACAATTTTAGAGATTACAACATGGCCTACGTTTGTACTTCCCATAGCGCACTGTATGTTTCTCAAAGTGATCCCCAATTATACTGACATCGCTAACAATGCAGAATGGCCCTCGGAAAGTTTGCAATTGAGCTTTCTTCCATAGCTACTTTCATATTTCATCAAATCAATGCCAGAGCAGCATAAGTAGTGTTTCCAGCAGTGGCTAAACCACTGAAAAAATAAGTGATAATTAGGTAATGATAATGAATGCTAGATGTGTCTTAAGCTTGAAGTGCTCTCCGCTTCCACTGCAGTGTTCATCTTTGCTATTGTCTGAAGGCTCACGTTGCTTCCACCCAGAAGCAAAGCGCTCTCTATGATCTGTGAGCCAGCTTTCCTGGATTTTCTCACTCAGCATTGATCTGCAGTTATGTCAGAGGTGTGTTTTTCATTACAGTGTTTTTCTGTCTATAAGAAGATAAGGGGAATCTTCTCAAATGATTTAGTATGGCAATGAAAGGTTATAGTCCCCTTATCTGATCTCTGCTTCAGGCTGACTTAAACCTTCAAATACAGTATTTGAGAATTGAGAATTTTTTCCCACTGAATTGACTAAAGGCTCTGAAAAAAAATTTATCTCTTATGTTCTACTACTTTAAACACTCGGGCTGTGTTTAGATATTTCACTTCTGTTGCAGCTTGTGTAAAAAGGGTGGGTGAATTTAAAAAAAAAAAAAAAAAAAAAAAAAATCTGCGTTTAAGCTGTTCAGTCAATGCCTGTTACGTACCATAGTGCAATAGAAAGTGCAGACAATTCCTGTTGCAACTACAGAGCCCCAGAGATCAAACCCAGTGACTGTGGAAACAAGGAAAACCAGATAGTTAGCGAAGTGGGGGTAGGTTTTCCGGATGGTAAGAGAAAAGCTGTGATCCTTTAGCCCTGGAAAGAAGGACATAGTTACTGATTTTAACATTTTCTGTTTGCTGGGAGCTTTGCCAGATTGTTCAGATTACTTAATACTACTTCACTGTTTTTTTCCAGTTTGGGTTTCACTGTTTTCAGGTACAGAAGTAATAGTTAAAAATAATTACACATAGGAAACACTTTGTTTTATAAGCAATGCTTCCTTCTCTTCTCAGTCTATAACTTTCTCTTTATTTTAAAATCTCTCTCAGCATGCACTGTTTGCAAGGGCAAATCAATTTGTAAAGGTTTTCATAGTAGCAAGGTTAATATGGCCTGCTAATGAACACTAACTTCTGCTCATAGCTGTCTATTTACAGAGCTGAGCTCCAGAGGAAGGAAGGAAGTTCAGAGTGTGAAAAGTGGATTTTCCACTTTTCCAAACCAGATTCAGCTTGACTGATGAACAGTGCAAGGAACGTCCCAATCTCTGCCTTAATTAAGTCAGATCTGCCAAGGATTAGGACCTAGTGATTCTCTCTGCTCTGCAGTAGTATGTTTGCTAATCCCATCCATCATGATGGATGTTGTTTGTCTGTTAAGATCAGTTAAGGCAGTGCGTGAAAAGTAGTGCTGCATCCAGCTACAAGGAATGGGCTTATCTCTGTTGGAACCTGCATGGGCGTTCAGGTTTTGACATGGTGTTAAAAATTAAGTAGGATCATGAAAATTAACCCTTAACATGAGGAGCTTGACTTTCATCTTGCCTGAAAAATTGCACCCTTGCCAGAAAAAAAATCCCTCAGCACCTACACAGACTTACCTTGGTGTCATCCCTAAATAAATCTGGTTTCAGTTGCTTTAATGGTTGGAAAGATGCATTACTATTCTGCATTTCGTTGGACAGCTGTGCCACTGCAAACACTTTGGGAAAGAAGAATATCAGCTTTGTGCTTATGATAGTAACAGTGATAGTGGTGCTCAGGAGGCAGGGAGGGGAGGAACCAAAGTACGGAATACAGTCTTGGATCATCAACTTGTACTGTGGACTTTGTCAGGATGTTGAGAAATTGCTCATCACTAACTTCTTTGGGTTTTTACTGAGTGCAAAACAACAGAACAGCAAACCCTAAACTGCTGATTTACTGGTGTGAGAGGGACCTGGGAAAGGAGAAATAGAAAGCCTTCTAGGTGCACACAAAAACCTTGCTGTAGAACTTGTAAGAATTTGCTTTTCAGAGGACTTGTTTAGCTGTTTGCCTTGCTTGAATTATTCTTGTCTTGTGGTGTGGTTATTTGGAGTAGCCGTAAGGGCAGGGAAACTCACCTTGGTTGAGAGCCAGTGATGGAGCATAAACCACTATTCCTGTGTAAAGAATCTGGAAGAGAAAACGTTCATGGAAAAAAAAAAAAGACATGTACATGACTTCTCAGTAATAATGCTTCCTTTCAGAATGGAGCTTATGGCAGAATATCAGAACTAGAAGTTTCTTTAGATGAACTTGTATTGCCTTCTGCTTCAGTCTGCAAAATGGAAAGTGTTGGTTTTTTTTTTGTTTTTTTTTTTTATGGTCCTTTCATCAGGAAGGAATTATCTCTCTAGATATTTTGTACTTTCTTTCATTGTTAAGATAACTGGATGTCAAAAATACCCTCATCAAGTAGAAAGAGGAGGTCCCAGTAAAACACAGTGATGCAGAAATGACTTGTATCAGATCTTGGAAATTACACTTCCCTTTGTCCTTTCAATTGCTTTTCAAGCTAACATGATGCCCTTCATGAGGGTGTTCTGACAGTGAGGAACAAACAAAGCCTGAAAGCAAATGAACATTGCTGTCTACTGTTGTAGGCTCTAGAATTAATAAAAATGGATTTCAAGTAGAAATAAATGTCTTGCAATATCCCAAAAGCTTTCATCAAATACCTAACTAGTGTTCTGAGAAAGTTGGTGCCCTCTTAAATCGAAGAGCAAAAAAGCTATGTGATGTCTACCTAGAACAGTGCTTTGGGAAGCTTCTAAAATGTAAGTAAAGCCAGTAGAGCTCAGTGTCTCTGTTCAAGATCCAGGAACGCTGTTTTGTTTATCTGTATATGCAGGGCTGTGGACTGACTAGGCTGTGTTTTGTAGTAATGCAGAGCAGAATATAGTTGTGGAGTCTCTCAACTCTAAGCAGTGATTTCTGCCCTGTTGTTGCAAGCAACTCTTCTGGGGCTGGAGCTTGCTGGCCTTGCTGCTACTGCTGCCTGAGAGGGCCAACTGGGCAAGCATTGCTAAGGAGAAACTGGGAAGAAACTTCACTTCAGGTCATCCCTACTGGTGCCATCATGAGGCTAGAACAATCTGGGCATCTCCCAGGATGTGCTGTATGCGGTAGCTTAACAGTGGGATAGCCTTACCCAAGTGTCAGAAGTGGGTAAATAAATAAGCAACAAATGCTCCAAGCACTACTCATCTAGTTTCTCAAGAAAGATGTAATTTCTTCTCTTTGAAAGAATCATAGAATTGTTAAGGTTGGAAAGGACCACTAAGACTGTGTAGTCCAACCACCTACGTCTCCATATCGTGCTCACTAAACCAAGCATCTCGGTACCACATCTCCACAGTTCTTGAACACCTCCAGGCGTAGTGATTCCACCACCTCCTGGGCAGCCTGTTCCAATTCTCACCACTCTTTCTGAGAAGTCTCTCCTAATATCCGACCTGAACCTCCCCTGATGAAACTTGACACCATTCCCTCTTGTCTTATTGCTATTACCTGGGAGAAGAGGCTGACACCCACCTCAATACAACCTCCCTTCAAGTAGTTGTAGAGAGTGATGGAGTCACTCCTGAGCCTCCTGAGCAGTCCCAGTTCCCTCAGGCCCTGACTTAACTAACTGACATAAGACTTTCATTCCATACCCTTCACAAATCCATTACTGGATTCCCTGGACATAATCCAGGGCCTCAATGGCTTTCTTACAGTTAGGGACCCAAGACTGAACATGGTATTCAAGGTGCAAATTTAACACAACATCCAAGTGTCAAAGGCAACGTGAATGCATTTTTTCATCATGGGAAGAAACTAGAAAGTAGGAACGCAGCTGTTCTATCTTTTTAACATTCGCATTCCAACCTAATTAAAGAATTTTGTTGTAAGGAGAAAAAAAAGTTCAGTCTGACACTTTATTCAAAATAAATACATAGACTGAAACGATCACAAAGAAAGAGGCAGTATCTTCTTACCGTCTGCAGGATGTAGATCAGTGTTGCAACAAGACGGACATTCTTGTTAAATCTTAACTCCAAATACTAGGAAAGAGGAATTTCAGTAAATTGCACGCGTAGCATCTGTGACACAGCTATTAACCTTTTGTTCTCCCCAAGTAACAGCTTGCTGTGCAAGTAAAACAACTGGCAACTGACACTAATGTTGTGAGTAATGAACAGGAGAGCATAATTACTGCTACACGTAGAGATAATTTTATTTAAGAAATCTTCTCAGCAGAACGTAGTTGAAATTATATGTTGGGTCACAGCATGCAATATTTTGTGTTGGGAATACAATCAGAAGAGCCTGCAGGCTATGAGGAAAAGAAACAAGGTCATCTCCTGTTATAACAGGACAAAAGCAGTGGAGGAGCAGATAGACAAGCAGCAATCTAAAGGCTTTCATAGCCCCTCAGCTAAGCTGGTTTTCTCATTTGTCTTGTTTGAAGCTGGATCTGCACATGGTCAGTGGGTAGAGGCAAGTCACGTTGGAGTCGTAGAATTGGTGGAGTTGGAAGGAACCCTTAAAGGCCACCTAGTCCAACTCTTCTGCCATGAACAGGAACACCTCCAGCTCCATCAGGATTGTGCAGAGCCCTCTCCAGCCTGACCTTGGATGTCTCCAGGGATGTGGCATCTACCACCTCCCTGGGCAACCTGTTCCCTCAAGTTACTAACAGCTCCTTGATTCATCCAATACTACTCCCCAGATTCCACGAATTATGACAGATCTCCTACCCAAGTTCTTACAGATTTCCCCAAAAACACAGGTCTTAAGCCCAAGTCACTACCTAAAATCTCCCTTGATTGCTAATCCCAGAGTAGCTGGGGGAGGACTGGATCTCCCCGGGGCCACTGGCTGTGTGTTCACCCCAGCAGACATCAGGCTCCATACAGGTCCGTTGTCTTTGCCAGTCTCTAGGCAGTTTTTCAGAAGCAAACTCTTACTAATTTTGTTAACATTAACTTCTTGCCTCTTGCATAATAAGCCCCACAGATTGCTGTGCAAATAAGTAGCTAATTTATGTTATTTAACTTGTTTCTAAAAATAATTCATGAACTCAGCAGAGTCATCTTTCCAGCACGCTTGGAAGGGCTGTGTCTACGATGACACCTCCAGTGGTTCAGATAAGAAACTCCTTCTCTGATCTTGCATTAAAACCAGCTAGAAAATGTAGTTAGTCCCGGTGGTGGGAATAGATGGCCACTGTTATTTTTTTCTTGCTTTTGACTGAAACTTTTCCAAACAGCCCGGCAAAGCTCTCTGACTGAAGCCTCTCCTTGGGTTTCAGCGTAGACAACATGAGCAGCCTTTCCATTATCAGAAAGCTCCTTGGGAAGTAGCACGGCTTTGCTCACCCAAAACTTTCCACAAGTTGGTGCAACAAAATCTGCAGCGGTTGATTAAATACTAGATGGCTATCCCAAATGTTGGAAAGCTCACCAGAATGAAACAGTTCAAAAGTATTTAGGATACTTTTCAAATACTTTCTAGCTGTGATGGTTTTGTGCTGGTGTGTAAACTCCTTATGCTGTCTGTGCTATTTATCCTTAACAAGACCTCTGGCTTTTAATTTGTGCCTCTACTTTATGCAGTATACATAAGTGACTACTTTGTATAACAGAACCCGATTTTAAAAATAATTCCTGCATAAATACATTTGTTCTGTAAAATATTACAGAAAGTCTTCAGTATGCAGGCATTTCTCCAGAAATATCCATATACATCATGCAGTCTTATAATGAAATAACGCGCTGTTTAAAAAAAATTTTACTTACCTCGTAAGTGCTTGTAATGTCAGATCTGTAAAATACAGGTAGAAAAATCTCAGAAGTTAAAATGATGACAAATGTGTATGAAAGGAAGAACAGAACAAAGGATGCTCCGTAGCGATAAACTTCGGAGGGTGTCCCCAGAACTGTCACTGCTGACATGAAGCTGGACGTGAGGGAGAAGGCTATTGGTCCACATGACATCTGCTTACCACCCACCAAAAACTCCTGCGAAGTTTTCTTTTTTCTCTCCTTAATTGCAAAAAAGACTCCAATGCTAGCACATACCAAAAATAGTCCTGCAAAAACAACGTAGTCCCAAATGACAAATTTTTTAATTTCTGGAGCTACGAAGTTTGACATAGCACCAGCTGGGTTATTCTCTGGTAGAGAATTCTGATTTACTACAGTTGTTGCTCTGAACAGATCAGAGCAGCAAAGGTGTAAATTGTCTATAGCTTATCAATGAGAAATTAACAGGAAGACCGTTTGGTTGAGATGGCTCTTTTTATCCAGGCCACCTCTGAGGAGGAAAAAAACCAACCAGAACAACCAACTAGCTCACGATAAGGAAGGAGGGTGTTGCATGCTCTTAGACCCTAGTGATAATGATGTTTCTGCCAGGCAGACTGGACGGGGGCCGTAGCTGTGAAGCCTGCCCTACACTCCCTTTTTATCTGGGAGGTTTTAATTTGAGGTTAAATATTAGCCGGACAGATTGACTTGATCTGACTCTTTTCTAACCTATCAGCATTTTTAAATAATAAAATGAGAGCGATAAAAAAAATAAATAAAGGAGAGAGAAATGAAGGAAAGCACGATGTGTGAACCTATGACCTACCAGTGCGTTTGTTTTCAAAGCGACCATTTCTTCATATGGTTAAAATCTAAACTTTAATATCAATGATAGGGTTCACAATTGTCCTTTGACATTTTAAGTGTGCTCCTTGATAGACGCTGTGCCGCAAAGAGTTGAAAGCTTTAATGATTAAAAGTAACTGTAATGCTTTACCCTGAACTCATAGCCTGCTCTTACTGGGTACCCTCACGTTGGAAAAGAAATAGTGTTGTGTGATGTTTTAGGATGAATTTCAGATGGCACTGATGTTTGCTGTCAGTTACTAACTGCAGTTTTAATTATAGCTTCTATGAGTTTCTGTGAAAGGTGGCTTAGTGGGCACAGCAGTAATGGGCTGACAGTGGAATACCTGATACCAGTGATCTTTTCCAACTTTAATGGTTCTGCGATTCTATGGTTTATTGCATTTTTCAATGCACAACTTGGTCAGACATGCAAGGCCAAAGAAAAGGAAATAAAACAACAGCTTCAGTTTTCTAAACTACATTGATGGAATAGTTTATGAAATTCACTTAATTACGTTTTCCTTGCAGTTTTCTGCTGGTTGGTTTTAAACAAGTAGATATTCATTCAACCTCAGTCTATGTATGTCGTAAGTATGACAATATCTTTTGCAAAACAAAACAAGGACTTATCATACCAAAGAATAAACTTGTATGCAGAGGTGGTGTGCATGAAGTGCAGAGAGTTCCTTTTGGAGCTCATCACAAGAGATGCAGTAATGGGAGGTAGGTTATAATGACAAAAGTCCTTCTCATAAGCCTTGCCTTGGGTGGAGGTGGATGCACTTCAACTATAGCTGCAAGACAATTAGTCCCCATAAAGGGCATATTTGTGAGGTCTCATCCAGCTGGGTTATCAATTAATGCCCCGTTTGTTGCCACCACAGTCATTTTTTGCACTGGAAGCTGCACTTAGTGCAGTGGAGGGACTGGATGGGAGAGCAATAAACGGATAACAGCGAGTCGGTGGAGGTACTGCTCTGCAAACTCAACCCACCACCTTACAGTGATTTCTTTATCTAAGTGTACCCTCATCATTAGTTAATATTTCCCTTTTGTACCGAACATGTCTTAAGGTGTGTCCACTTTCAAAAAAGCAGTAACTTTCACTTGCCAGATATTCCTTTGGCTTTTTTTTTTTATTTTATTTTTCCTTCCTCTGCTTATGACTGTAACAACACGAACAGTTTCTGCAGATTTGAGGCTTTGATTCATACCTACAGTCTGTCTCTGGCTGTGCCATGGCAATAGCAAGGTTCTGGGATCAAACATCAACCCGGCCTGGCAGGAGCTTGATGAAATGGGCGAGGGCATGCAGGGCTACGTGGGCAGAGTACACGCGTGCCTCCTCCTGTAACCACAGCTCAGCGCTGGTCAGTGGTGACAACACAATGAGTTCACAAAAAGTTGCAAAGAAGTGAATTTGTGGGCAGTCCCTCTCACACTTGTGCCACTAAATTACATCCCATGTAGTAAGACTACAGGGGTCTGATGGTGCTGAGACGGTGAGTAATTGTTGAGGAGCTTGGGATTGAAATAAACAATGAGATTTAGAAAAGTTCTCGTGGTCAGATTTGTGTGCAAGTCACTTATCAGAGTAAATGTAAGTGGAAGATCACTGTTACATTCATTCTAGGAAAACAATACTATTGCTGGTTTGAACATGTTTTTAAGATGGTCTGTTTGCCATCAACAAATGCTGCTAATGAGTGAACTGTGTCTGTTCAGCCTTGAGAAAAGAAGACTGAGAGGGGACCTGATCCAGGTCTATAAATATCTAAGGTGTGGGGGGCAGAATGGCGAGGCCAGACTGTTTTCAGTGGTGAATGGAGACAGGACAAGGGGAAACAGCTGGAAACTGCAGCATAGGAAGTTCTGCACCAATGTGTGCAAGAACTTCTTTACAGTGAGGTGAGGAGCACTGGAACAGGCTGCCCAGGGAGGTGGTGGAGTCTCCTGCTCTGGAGATGTTCAAGACCTGCCTGGATGCCGACCTGTGCGACCTGCTGTAGGGAACCTGCTTTGGCAGGGGGTTGGACTCGATGATCTCTGGAGGTCCCTTGCAACCTCTACGATTCTGTGATTCTGTGATTAATTAGCAGTTGGGTCAGCTGTGCTGTAACCCACTGGCAAATAAAGATGCCAGGATGGTCTCAGTGCACAGTAATGTTAGTTTCATTGCAGGAAGCTTTTTCAAATAGCAGTATTCCTATTTATGTAAATACATAAATGTAAGCCCAGAGATCTTTTTTGTTCGGTAATTTTTAATGATCTTTCTTGAAGAAAAGTATTTTGGAGTGATAGAGTTTTACGTGAAGCAGAAAAAAGTCAGTGGACAATAAACTGGAATTCAAGTCAGAAATTTCCATGTCGATATTTATGGTTCTGTAGCCCTCCAATACATTGTCATTGTACCTTTAGGATATCGTACAGAATAACTATCTTAGCTAAATCCCACATTAAATACTGAGAGCTTAGAAATGCTGCTTCTAAAGGAGAGGTCATTTGAAAGTAATACAAAAATGCCCATTATTCTTCTGATTATATTCTTTACATCAGAATAATTGAAAATATTTCCTGGAAAAAGAATAATATGTAAAATAAATAAATAAATAAATAACTCCAGTTTCGTATTTTGACAGTGGAAATTCTTGTTAAATCAAAGATTTATTTAATCAGGACAACCCAAGGAAGAAATTTGGTGTCTTGAATCTTCAGTAGGCTTCCCATTTTCTGACTATGAATCAAGGACTGAACACGAAATCCAACTCAAGTGTTTGGATTTTGCTCTCAAGGCTGTTCGCGGCTGAAGAATCACCTGGGGCTGAATTACAGGTGTTGTGAGAGGGAAGATGGTTGTTTAGCAGTGCAGCTCTCACAGGTGCCAAAGCCTGCTACTGTTCAGGTTAATGGAATGAGGCCATAAATGGAAATGCTTGTGTGGTTCAGGCAGTGACTGTCTTGGTAGCCAACGCTACCTCGGCACCCTTTCTGTGAGTAAAGGTATGAGGAGAATTAGACTGATATCATCTAAGTATCTGCTTGATTCTATTGTCTGGATTGGTAATATTTCATTACTATTACTATTATTTTTAATTTATTATATTCTAGTATTGCATTTGAACTGAGCCTCAATTATTTATTCCCAATTATTTTGATTAAAAGCTTTGCTTTTGAGACCCTAAAGCTTGATTAAAATTCTGTTATCAATTCAGTGACTGTAGTGTCTCATGATAGCTCATATTTGGATAATCATAATAATTGATTTCCTTATTTTCCAGTAAATTAAGTTTCAGAGCTGTAATTTACTAAGTCTTTTACTTTCAATCCATCTTAGCCTATCATGCCAGTTAGATATTTCTATATCTGAGACCTCTGCCAAGTTTTAGCGCCCACATGCCATCCACGTGGGGTGACATCCCATTGCATAACCACTGTGAATATTTGGTGAATGTAAATCACTCACTTAGGGCCATATTTGGCCACACCCAATGGATAAGTAGTGTTTCATACATGGTTAGCACTTAAACTTTCTCACTGTGGATTCTTTGGAACAGACTCTTAGATAGCAGATGGAGATTACTTGCAATAACTGCTTTTTTATGGTCTTCCATATTGCTTGCTAATTAAGTTTGCTGGTGACAGGACTTCAAAGCTTCAGAGAAAGGATGTCCAAAGGAGAAAATATATGATACATGAAATCACTGGGAGTGCATAAAGTGAGCAGTTATCAAAGAATACTATTTCACAATTATATTTTAAGTTGGTAGCATCCTTTCCCCTAGGTTGTGATGTTTCGCAGGCAATAGTGTATGAGAACATTTTCTATCAGTTGTTTGTTTGGAATTGAACCCTGTCTCAAGATGCGTACCTTACCTGCTTATGCTTATTTCAGTGGGATCCTTTATGTACTTTAGATGCATATTTTGACATCTATTTTGTAGTGGAATAAATAGGTTTTATCTGTCTTCTTTATTCAGTAAATGTTATATAGGACTGTGATTCATGAGTGTTTTTGTAGTGGACTTTCTGTTTCCTAAATTCTAGTTCTATTCCTTTTCAGTCTGAAACAGGGAGAAAATGACTTAATTGTAAATAGATCTTAATTTAATTGAGAAATTATCACATTATTGCTTACATACATTCTTCAAATAACTGTTAAGTCCTATTTCTGGACTTGCAGGAGATTTTTCTAGTAAATAGTTCCACTTTGTGGAATGAATTGCAGGGGACGAGGAAGCTTTGCTTAGTGGAATTGCATATATGCAACCGTATATAGTTGAAGTGAAATAAAGTCCTAAATCTAAAGCTGGTGTAATATTCTTATGCATCAACCTTCAGTTTCCCTCTAGATCACATTTCCTAAACGAGTTTAACTCATTTATAACTAGTATATCAGATATTGTCTTTATGTACACTCAAGAACTGTGAGGGTTTGACTTATAAGGAGGGTTCTTTTCACAAAAGGCAGCTCACAGTATTTCTTTTAAGATGAACCTTACTCTCAGGTGAAGTAAAATCTCCTTTTCAACATGGAAGAATGGAAGAAAAGTAACAACTATAATTAAAAGAAAAAAAAAAAACCCACAACACAGAAGCATACTAAATAATAATTTCAAAAAAATGGAATAGCCTTTCTGCAAAGCAGTATCTACATAAATGGATGCAAGTATGAATGGAGGGATTTACCAGCCCATTGCAAAATCTCTAGCATATAATACCATTTAATCCCAGAATTTTCTTTCGTTTTGCCCAAAGGCTTT